TTTCTCACTCCAATCTCTGAAAGCAAAAAAAAAACTTCACTCTCGAACCCAGTAATTTTACGCGCTGCTGTGACGCTTTCAAGCTTAATCTGATGGACTGCGGGCAGTTCCTCTTCAAAATTGAATTCCTCCCTTGTTTCTCCTTAATTTGTTTTAGTTGTCGAAGTTGGAAAAAGAGTGGACCTTGAAAGTTCGTTAGAACAGAAAAAAAGGATTTTTTTGTTCGAGAAAGTTTCTAAGCCTCAACATTTTTTTTAGACAATAGTGAATCAATTATTCTTTAGGAAACATTATTTGTTGCCTCATACAGTTTTCCCAAAGAAAATTGCTAGGTTTCGAAGATCGCCAATCTTTTCAATTGTTTTTCACTGCTCCAAAAAATCAGCTTCTTTTTGAGTTCAAAATTTCAAAAGATCGTGATCTTCAATCGATTATAACCTGAACATCATAGTTTTTGAAAACTTCTCGAAGCGCTGTTGAAAGTACCATTCACTTGTCATAAATTCACTTTTTGAACGAATAAAGTCCGATAAATCAATTCAATTATCGATAGAGCAAACTTTCTACAAAAGTTTTCGAAAACTCATGAAGGTTCGGTTGCATCCAAGGTCTCAAATTTCATACTTCTCCGAAGCATCCCACTAGAAGTTCAACAAGCAGACAAAGAAAAAAAAAAGAAAAAGAGTGATTTTTCAACACGATCCACCACCAACACCAATAAAACCAAATTAGCCAAATTTGGAGTTTGTGGGAGGCCAGGAGTGTTGTGCCGGCTGCGTGTTTGTGCAACCGGAGAAGACGCGTTGTTTCGTCGGCATTATCCGTAATTCGAGCGGCTCCTTTCCCAGTGTTGCGACTTTTTTTTTGTCTCTCTATTCCTTGTGAACTTGGTCCTGCCTCCCCCATCCTTTTGTGTCCGTGACGTGTAGTTTCCAGAGCCGCCTGCACCTTCTGTGGGAGTCTCCAAGGCTTTTCCTTGTCTGACCACAGGTAGTGGAGTCGGCTCGAGATTTTTCTGACTTTACAGATAAAAAAAGTTACCGGTACTGGATTTTTAAACTTTTTTCTTAATTTCTCACTTCTTCTCGCAAAATGCTTGTTTGGCTCGAGATTTTTCAGACCTCCCGAGAAAGAGATTCATTGTGTTCAAGTTTTGAACTTCATTTTTAAATTTGTACTTTTGTAAGTTTCTGTCGCAACATGCTTCATTCAGCTTGATGTTTTTTGAAGATCAGTTTGAAGAAAATTGCTAAAAAGTGATTATTTTTCTGTTCTCCTATGAATTATTTCGCGGCCTAGTTTTGCCTGACGCTTTTACGCACTTGATTGAAATCATGAAAAATCTGTAAATGAGAATCCAAAGCTTTTCCTAGACTAACCACAGTTGGTGGATTCAACTCTTTTCGGCTCAAGACTTTTCAGAACTTCTGCAAAGGCAGTCAGTGTACTAAATTTTTTTGAACATTTTTCACTTTTTCGCTATTATTTTTTTCTACTTTTTTTGATAGCAATTTTGGCTTGAGATTTCTCAGATTTATGGTTTGAATAAAAGCTCGGAGTAGCCATGTATTTTTTTTTTCAACGCCTTATTTTTTTCGTTCTAACCATCAATATGCGCTTATCCTTTTTCTATAACAACGGTTCAAATAAGCTCGTTTTTTTTATTTGCTAAAAAGAACAAGCATCTTTCGTCTTTATACTACACAAGGTGAAGATTTCCCTGGTTCTATTAATTCAAATCGTAGAGTTCTAATACTGTGAGGATCGTATCACTATCAGAAAATTTGATCCAATAGAAGTTTCTATGACAGTTCAAAGCGCAAACAAGACGTATATAGCTTAAAAATTTGTCTTCTGCTTGAAAAATCATTTCCTGTCCTTTTTCGGATCATTTTGTAAGAAAGTATCTGTTGAAGAGTCGGAACTCTGGTTTTTCTTGCTTTTTTCTTCTATTATTTTATTTTTTTTCCAATATTTTTCCGCTTGTATTATCCCCAAGGAGCAGATTTAATTGTTGGCATTCTAGGTGTAGAAAAGCTGCTAGTGGCGAGTTGGTGGAAAGGAAGGAAAACCTTTTTTTTGAGATCTCTCCTTTCGTGTATCTCGGTCTCAGCCGTGGGCATGTGAACCACGTAATTTCTTCCGATTCCGACCTTGTTCCCCGCAATCATTCTGTGTTTTTGCGTTTATCCATCTGCAATTTTATCCCTCACGAGTTTTTTCCTTTTTTTCCATTCTGGGGATGAAAAATATGGCGTAATGTTTTTCGCAAGAGCCGCGAGAACTGCAACCGCTGGGCTGAATTTTATACACCTACACGTGTATCAACAATTTTCCGAACAAGATTTAATCAGTGATTTTTCAGAGACTTCAATTTTTGTTTCGAAACTCATCAATTTTTCTTTTATCTTTTATTTATGACTTTAAAATTTTTTATTCAAGTTCAACTATTTTCGTTCAGTTCATTCTTGAAAATTTCATGATTTTTTCGTTGTCCTAATTTTTTCACGGATCAATTTTTCCGTTATTCAAAAAACCTGACTGGTTCTTAATGATCTGCACTATTTTTTTCTCACTTAATTGGTCAACTTCAGAAGCACAAAGTTCATGAAACTTCTTCATGCAGCCATTTTTGGAATACAAATAGTTCTTCGAACCAATATCAGATGTCATATTTGCCCTGGATCTTTTGAATTTTTTTCCAAATGCTTTTTTTCGCGCAAAAAGTTCAATTCTCTTCTCCGATCTGTAAGTCTTGTCAGTTAATCAAACCTCACTAGTTTTTCGATCTTGAGTTTTTTTTTCGGTTTTTTGAGCTTTTGTCTGCTTTTTGAAAGAATTTTTTTAGAGACCATGGTGATTTTTGCAGCGACCAAAAAAATTGGTCTATATGGTCTATTCATGAGCGGTTGGCCTCTCGCTTGAAAGCACAGCCCCATGACCATTTTTGAAAGAGCTTAAAGAAAATATAGATGTCGAGAATAAGATGAAAAAAATAGCAAGTCAAATAACAGCAATTTTTGAATTTTTTTGCCTCCAAAAAAATCGTAAAAATGGGACTGAAAAAGCAAAATTTTTTTAGAGTTAGAGGTTTTTGAGTTTTTTTGAGGAAAGAAATAAATTGATTAATTTCGGGACGCCGCAAATTTGATTCAAAAGTACAACGGTTTTTGCTTATTCCATGCATTTTCATGGTTTTTCAGATTATTGAAAAAATAAATTTTTATCAAATTGAGACGATTTCAGCCATTTTTTGAAGTAAATTTCAGGTAGTTCAGTTATTTTTGAATATCATAAAGTCGGAGCCTTCAATTCCAGAATAAATATCGCAGAAAGTTATTTTTTTGCGTTTCCCATTGGATTCTAATTTCCGTTCATCTTCTGCCAGCAACAAAAAAGCCCTCCAACCTTTGCGACAAACACTAATCGACCCAATATTCTTCTTTTGTAGTGGCATTCAAGGTCCAAAATGAACTGGACTATTTGCCAAACGTTCTTCACGACATATTGCCATTCCTCAAATTTGCTTCTTTTCCAAATGTTTCCCACCAGCCGACAGATAATGCGCCCCGAGGCTATTTCATCCTGGAACAAATGAGCGGCTCAATGAAAAAAAGTCAAAAATTTTTCTTTTTCTTCCCGTCAACAAGTTTACCACCACCAAATTTGGCACTTTTTTCCGCTTTCTTGCGTCGAACTTCATTCTCCGTTCGAATCCGTCGAATTGCTTGCACTTTTTATTTCATTTAGTCTTCCAACCTCTTTATTTATTTTCGCCATTTCGCTCTCCTTTCTTTGAATTATTCAAAGCTTTTCGATTAAATTCGTATTCTCCTTGGGATTTTTTTTCGACTGGTGCCCGGAAATTTTCCTTCTTATTAGTCGAGATTTGGCTTTTTTCTGTTGGAGAAGAGACAAATTTTGACCAAACCATATATTTTTTTTTCTGATATTTTTAATACATTCCATTAGATTGAAAGATAATTTATCTTCGACTTCAAAACATTATTTGTGAGTATAATACTTGTTAAGGTTTTGGAATAAAAAAAACTGAAAGATACAATTTTCTATGAGTTATAAATCCAAAGAAACCGATTTTGTAAGAAATATTCTTCTAAATGAGGTTTCTATTTTTCACAATTTCATCAGTTTTTTTACTGTTATCATGTTCTTCTCTTTCCCATTTCTCAAATCTGTAGACCTTTGAACTAGTGAATAAATTTTTGAACTATTAATTAAGTCACTTAAACTATGATCCTTAAGTACAATTAGTGTTTCTTCAGCATTTGAAAAAAGTTATAGACGTCAGTAAAAAAAGGATTAAGCTTGTCTGAAAGCCTGCTTTCCATAAACTGGTCAAGATTTTTCTTCACAACGGGCTTCCATTTTTCTCTCAACACGACCCTTTGAAGTGTTTTGATCCCAATTTTTGCTATATTTCCCTTGATCTTGATTTTCGTTTTGTAATTCGGACATTCGTTTTGTTTTTCTTCTTCTTTTAACACTAGAAAATCGTCTACAAGGGGAAGTTTTCAGATTCCAATAAACGACCGCCAGTTTGTTGCCCTTGATGCAAAACCACTTTGATCCGGTCACCTAAAAGGTAGGCAGTGAAATAACTTCCAATATCCTGCGTCATTATCCAAACAAGATGATAATGTGCACCAGACCTTACAAGATCCTCTGAAAGTATAGGCAACTACGAAGAAGCTCGACAATTAGCGGTGCACTTGCGTCATTGGGATGGTTAATAGGGTTGTCATGGGAGTTTCGAGAAAACTCCAATTTCTACTTCTTTTTTTCTAGTAGTTTTTCAAAGTGAAAATACGCTTTTTTCCGTCTATGAGAGATGATGAGAAGAAAAGTGTATTTTTCAATTTTCAAACAGTCTGGCTTGTGAACTTTGTTTTCTTTTTTGTAGAGAATCAAAGGCCGCAGACAGGCCAGATTATTTCATAGCGTGGTAGACAGGCCAAAATTAATAGTTATTCCCGTTTCAGATGCTGCAACAGCCGGTGCCCGAACTCCGAAGCTTCCAGTCTCTGTCCAAGTATGCTGGCGGACCGAGGTATCATTTTCGAATCAAATCTGATCGATTGACTTCCAGCGCAGTAGAGTCATATTTACGATAAACGCAAAAAGTTAACCTCAAATCATGTTTGGTTATCGTTTCGTCCTGATCCGTCAGTTATTCAGAAGAGCAAATGGCTTCCTAATCCTTCGAAATTTCCTCTTATGAATTTATTTCTGAATTTATGCCAAAGATTTGTATCATAGAACAGTGAGAGTACCCTTTTTCGAGTGTAAAATTTTCCATAACTTTATTATTCTAAGAAAAGAAAAATATTCTGGTCGAAATTTCCAACTTTTTATTATTAGGTATTCAGCTATTAGCTGTGTGTGTCTAACTGAAACGGAGAAGTATCCGCATTTGTTGAATTTTTTTACATCGAGATGCTTCGAATAAGTTATTTTAAAACAGAAAACCGGAAAAAACCTCGTAAAACATGGCAGTCTAAGGCAAACTGAACACGTTTCAAAGTTTTGAAGCTAGCAGCTGTTTCTTTTTTTTTGTTGGAGGAAATGGAGACTGAGCTTTGAAAGCCGTTGTCTTTCACTTTACTTACTCTGAAGCTTCGAACAGCTCAAGCTAACGTGTATTTATCCTTTCTAAAATGGAGTCTGCAGGTCAGTTCTTGGTCGGCGGACATCGAGCGCAGCAGCGGTGGCCCGGCGGCAGTCCCAGTCGCAGGCTAAACGTCGATTCGATGATATCGAGGTAATCTCGAAATGATGATAATATAATCGACTGATGAGTAATGCTTTTTGGAAAAAGTATCGTCTCTTTCTATATTTTTACTCTGCTTAAACTCAGAAAAGAACCTTTCTATAGTCAATTTTAGATTCCTATATTTTTCCATTTTCTATTAAAAGTTTAAAAGTTTTCTTTAGCCCTTGATATCATTGAACCTCCCCATCATAGATATTTTTCAAAGAAAAATTTTCTCTCTCAAGTTGATTTTTTATAGATGATTACTGATCTTTTTTTGTAAATAACTATCATACGAACCAGGCAAAAATCCTGAACTTTCCTTTTTAACTCCGTTTTCGATTCAATTTTAAAGCTTTTTTTGATTTTCCCTAACACTGCCTACAGAAAAAACCTCCCCAAATTGTTTCAACTTTGATAGTTGTACGTTTTTTTTGCACAAAAAGAGATCCACCCGCACATCGGATGAAAAAAATGCATCCAATAGCTTTATGACCGCCGTTAAAACTTAGTCTCTGTGGTGTTCCGGTTCTTAGCGTTAATTTTCAAACGCAAAAGCAACTTTTTCCGTTTTTTGCGCATTGAAGGCTCTGGAAAAAATTCGTGACACCGTGCTTTCTTGCACTGGTTTGCTGTATTTCTTCATAACAATCGAAAAAAGTGCGCTGTTAAGCTCGCAGAAAACTTGCACCTTTTTGTCATCTTTTCCTCATGAAGTCGTTTTGAATATTTGTCAACCTTAGTCCCGATGAAATTTCGATGATCTAGGAAAAGTATGAGAAATCCAAGTTTCTAAAACTTTTTTTGAAATCTTTCCCAGCTCTCACTTAAAGTTAGAATTGTAGACGGTGTGAAAAAAAGAAAAAAAACTTGCATCCCGAATTTCTTTGAACTTTTGCTCATTTATTTATTTGGTTAAATATGAGAAAAAAATAAAGATTTAAATCCTACTTTCGTTTTTGATGAGAATTTCTTGGTTTTTGGATCTCACTGCTTGACAGCTTCAATTTAAGATTTTAAACGAAAATTGGAGATTTCAGAAAGGATCATTAGGGCTCAAATCTTATCTTAGAAAATTCATTTACTCAAAGATAGCTACTCAGTTTGACTTTATCTCATTTTTTTCATGAATTAATCTCTTTTTTTATCAAAAAAATGTTGAAATTTGAACCCATCTTGCCTATTTTTTCAAAAAGCTCTAAGGCCACAAAGACCAAGATTTTTCCTTGTCCTTCTTGTTGCGTTTTTTTCCGCAACAGATTGTTTATAAACTCTTGAAAGAATGTCCTAAAGATCAACATTCTTTTTAGACTCCAACAATTTATCGTTTTTCGGTTAGTTTTTCAAATCCGCATGTAATCCATCAATTTTAAAAAACGCCGAAGAACAAAATCATTTTGGGTTTTTTTTTCTGTTCCTGAAGATGTTGCGTTTTTTCGTCTTTGAAGACTTTTCGAACTAATTGTTTATAAATTGCGGCGGCGGGGGACGACTATGACCAAGAGACCAGTGAAAAATGCTCAGGAAAAGAGGGCGGCGTTCAGACAATTTTCCGGCCTCGGAATTCGTGTCTTGTTTCTTGTCTTCTCCCTCCAATTACTAGCCAACTTTTCCTTTTTTTTCTCTTTTATGAAATCAAGCTTTTCCAGGCGCTCGGCTCAGCAGACGGCTCCAAAGAAACTCTGCAGCTTTCGGAGCACGGCCGGGTAAGTCAGCCTATCATGGTTTGAATAGTTGAAGACCTCCGGTTTCCTTGCCTTTATGGTGCACGCAAACGAGCTCGGCGAATTGTCATTCTCTCAACTTTTGCACTTTTTCCTTTTTTTCGTTTTTGGGGTTCATCATTGAGATTGGAATTCTCTTCAGTGAAGGTTTCGGGATGTTCGAAACCACAAATATTTCTTTCTATAAAGGGTATGTTAATCAGATGAGAGAATAATGCGTTGGGTTTCTAAAAATGTTTTAATCATTTTGAGTGAATTATTTTACAGCCTTGTAACGAAAAAAACAGTGATCATTTTTGAAGATTCTGCCTGTAAATAAATAAATCAAGATCAGGAAATTCTGTTTCTTTTCAGGATGAGTCAATTGAAAAATTTTTTATTGTTTTATGGGGAATGTCTTTTTTTCGATAAGCATGAAAAAGTTTCCATATACGTTCTGCTGATCCCTTTTTTAAATTTAGGCATTTCTTGAATACTCTAAAACGTAATATCCGAACAAACAGGGAAAGAAAACAGGAGTCTTTTCGCCTAAAAAGTTTTCTAAAAAGCATTTGATGGTTTTTGTCAAAATTGAAGTCGGAGAAAAGAGGGAACCAAAAAAAAATTCGCATTAGAAAATATACATATTTTCTTTCCTTTTTGATAATAATCGGAAACCTTCAGAAAAAGTTGAATGAAAACTCGATGAGACATGGAAATGACTTTGTGAACTTCTTAATCAGTTCAATTAATCAGGTTGATTGTCTAGTGACTGGCTAGACTTAACAATGAAATAAAAAAAAAGTGAATCTGTAAGAATTTTTTTCACTGTAAAGTTTAGTCAGACACGGAAATGAAAAACATTTTTTTAGCACCAGAAAATCAACTAATCCCTTTGTTTCAACGAACAGTAATTTAAACTTTATCAAAAAAAGTCGAACTTCTCATCTAAGTTTCATCAATTAGGCTAATGAATCAGATGAATTGATAATTCAAAACCTTTTTTTCTTGAGCTTGTGAGCTCAAAAAAGGTGCAATGATTTCGTAATGGAAGAAAAGTGAGAGAACTGCTATGGGATAATGGCAGCAAAAAGCGTTCCACTGAGCGAAAAATTATTTTCTCCTCGTTGGAACCTGCAAATTGAGCTTTCACAACAATATTTCACAACCTGGGCTCCTAGTTACCAAGCTAAACAATAGATACTAGAAGATTCATTGATGAAAGTAAGGTTTTTGCAGATAGCCTCCTCTTCGGAGGCTTCACCTGCGAGGTGGGAAGGTCGGCAGATCGAGTGGTGCGAAGAAGATCAAGTCGACGAGGCCAATGACTTGCCTTACCCTGGGTTAGCAACATTTTTTTTTTCTGTCTTTCTTTCATATGAACCATTTTTCGTCTTATTCCAACTTTATCTTGAAAACATAGATGTCGAAAACTGACGGAATGTTTTAGAGAACAATGAGAAAAAAACTACAAATTCGATCTTTGAGTGTTTTTCAGAGATAGCCATGATATTTTTATCTAACTGTTTCCTCGTTTATATTTTTTTTTACCTTGACTTTCTTAGTTCTCTTCCTCCACGCCACAGACGTCTGTGAGCGAACAATAAACATTTCATTTCATTTTGAACCTCTCATCAAAACAAAAAGTATTACAGATTTGCTGAGCCAGCTTTTCGATGTCTTCGGCAAGCGAAACCGCCACGAAAATGGGCTTTAGCGATGGTTATGAGCCCTTGGTTCGACCGGATAACCATGGCCGTCATTCTTCTCAATTGCGTTACATTAGGTGAGAATAGTGCAAATACTGTGAGAATAAAGAAAATAAGAGACTGATTTCCTTCGAATCATCTTTAAAATTAAAAAAATCTAGATGCAATCTTTTACATCCTAACCGCAGAACCAGAAGTCCTAAGGATACTTCTGGCGCCTTGAAATTTTTGAGAGAGAGAAAGAGCTGTACCATACGTCTTCTCATATAGAATCTCCTTGAATCCCAACAAATATGATGAGGCAGAACTGATGAGTTTCCAGGAATGTACCGCCCTTGTGAAGACGGACCAGACTGTTCAACGTACCGATGTCGAATCCTCGATTTGATAGACAATTGCATCTTCGTCTACTTTGCTTTTGAAATGGTCATTTTGTGATGCTTTTTTCTCTTAGATTTCTTCGGTCTGCTTACAAAATATACGGAAAAATTTTTATTTCATTATGAGATAGAAATAAGCTGCACATGAAAATCTTTAAAAATTTCTAAAAGCTTGATTGATCGAAAATTTCAGGTTATCAAAATCGTAGCGTTGGGTTTTTACGGGCCAGCGGCTTACATGTCAGACACATGGAATCGTCTCGACTTTTTCATTGTCATGGCGGGGTAATTTCTTTCCATTCCTACAAGAAGTTTGCATGGAGACGCGTTGCGGTCGCGCAGCGACTCATAATATCGACGCTAGATTATGCGCCTTTAATGCCGATACGGTTTGAACCATTCTTAGTGCGACCAATTTGTTAAAATTCGAGATAATCGCTTTTTATAGTGTGTGTGCCACGACTTGAAATTTCACGGAACGACATTCCGCTGTTGCGATGCGTGTGTTCGCGAAGCGTCTTTCCAATAGAGGTCACGCTTCACATTGATTGTTATTGCTGTGGTAGCACAGGAAATTGGAGTACCTTAATAAAAGAAAAAATTAAAACGCGACCAAGGTTCGCAATGACGCGCAGCGGCACAGCGGAATGTCGTTTGGTGGAATTCCAAGTCGTGGTACACATGCTATAATAGTAATTATTTTATTCAAAATCAACTATTATCTTCAGAATAGCCGAGTTCGTCCTACACGAATACTTGGGCGGAAACATTAACTTGACAGCGATAAGAACGGTCCGAGTTTTGCGACCATTAAGGGCAGTAAATCGAATACCATCAATGCGGATACTGGGTAAAAATCCTCCTTTTCGGAAAATTAAACTTAAAAAACTTTTAGTAAATCTCTTACTCGACACGTTACCAATGCTGGGTAACGTGCTACTTCTATGTTTTTTTGTCTTTTTTATCTTTGGTATTGTTGGCGTGCAATTATGGGCGGGTCTTTTACGGTGAGTTTTCTGAAAACTTATAATTTTTCAACAAAGATTTCAGGAATCGTTGTGTCATAAATTTGCCAAAAAGTATATCCGAAAATCAAAGTACATTATTCAATAATGTCAAATTAACTAGGTGAGAAAAAAATATTTCTTTTTTCAAAAAGGAAGTTGATTTCAGATTCTATATACCTGAGGATACCTCGTTAGAATATATTTGTAGTCAAGCTGATGCCAACGGGTTGCACACTTGTACAAACTTACCGCCGTATACCGTCAATGGAATCAAGTTTGTTGATTTTTTTATAGTGATTACATCAATCTCCTAATTCAAAGTAATAAGTTTATTTACTTCATTTCAATCGATAAAAAAGAGTAAAATGAAAAAATAAATTTTTATAGCCGTTAACCGGAAAAAAATATTTAACGACTATAATTTAACCCCTAAAAAAACAGCAACAAAAATCATTTGAAAACCCCTTAAGGTGCAACTTGACGATTGACGATCACGACAAGGTGTCAAACGAGTCATGTATCAATTGGAACATTTACTACAACGAGTGTCAAGTGAAAATCATTCAGATCTAACAAAAAATAAAGGATATTTTATTTCAGGTGATGCAACGAAACCCATTTCAAGGATCAGTATCGTTCGACAATATCGGTTTCGCATGGGTCGCTATTTTTTTGGTATTTTTCATTGAAATTTTCGATGATTTTTCAATTATTGTAGGTGATATCACTTGAGGGATGGACGGATATTATGTATTATGTACAGGACGCCCATTCGTTTTGGAATTGGATCTACTTTGTTCTTCTCATTGTTGTGAGTGGTACATTTGTATTTTTTCGGCATTGTTGCTTATTTTCAAAAAAAAGTTGCACTTGGAATAACTTAGCAAGTGAGAAGCTAATCTCATATAAGATTACATTGATAATATTTAACGCAACCGACTTTAAAACGACTTGCGCGTTAAACATCGAAATAAACCGCTCAATGAAGGATTGACGTAGCAGATAGTTTGGGCCATTCCAAGTGCGGCAAAATTGAAAACTCATTTTTTCTTCAGATTGGCGCATTTTTTATGATCAACTTGTGTCTTGTCGTTATCGCCACGCAGTTTGCTGAAACGAAACGAAGAGAAACGGAAAGAATGTTACAAGAAAGGAAGCGGTTACAAACTCAAGACTCGATGTGTGAGTGGATTTCTTGGTAGTTAGAAGGGCCATTAAACTATATTTTAATACTGGATATTTCAAAGGACATAGAAGAGTTTTAAAAAATATAAGCTTTCACCATATTGATCATCGAATAACTCTTGAACAAACTTTTTGGGCGGTCCATTTGCCCAATTTTTCTGTAATTTCAATTGTAATCCCAATCCTGCAAAAACGTATTTAGTTATCTCTTAATTTTGTTCAGTTAGTCAATATAATTATGAATAAACTACAACTCCGGATCTTTTGAACATCGTATCGAAACGATATAACTTTTTTTAGCCGTTGGTGGCAGCGAGAACGGAGGAGCATCTTCAAAAGAAGAAGGCGACACCGTCTACGCCGCCATTGTAAGATTCATTGGCCACACCTTTCGGAGAACAAAACGGGTGGCTAGAAAAGTGAGTTTCCTCATATATATCCTGACGTCACACAGTTTTTCAGAAGTACGATACCTACATGATCGAAAGAAAGGAGCGGAAGAGAATTGAGCAAATTCAAAGGAGGAAGTCAAAACTTGACGACATGGCAACATTATCGAGGATAGAAGAAAAGGCTGAAGATGAAGAAGGTTTGCAAATCTTTTTTCATTGAGTGAAGATATTTCCAGAAGAAGAGAAGGTTGAGGATATGACCCTACAGAAGAAGAGTCAGCGAAGGGTTGTCATCGACGATGAGCCTCAGATAAAGATCAATGGGAGTGCGAGAGGTTTAAATTTTCAAACTTTTTTTTTTATCTTTTTTTACTTTCAGAATTTGCAGGAAATAACTAAACCAGACTGATTTTTTCCAGGACATTACACTAGAGCTCGCAGCGATGACGTCACGACTACCGACGATGATTCTGACAGCGATTCGATGAACAACGACGATGAATGGACCGAAACATTACCTGTGAAGGTGAAATGCCTATTGCCAAAATTTAATAATCTATCTTAACCTTTTTAAGGCAAAAATATCAACTCTAAGCTGGATGAGACAGAAAGTGAAGAAATTTGTGATCTGCGATCACTTTACTCGAGGGATTCTAGTAGCCATTTTAGTGAATACCTTGAGCATGGGTGTCGAATATCATCAACAGGTTATTTCTACAATCAAGTTTTCCATCAAAAACAATTTTATTTTCCAGCCGGAAATCCTCACAACTATTCTGGAATATTCCAACTTGTTCTTCACTGCTTTGTTCGCCTTGGAAATGTTGTTGAAGATTATAGCTGACGGTTTTTTTGGGTACCTTGCGGACGGCTTCAATCTTTTCGATGGTGGAATCGTCGCTTTGAGGTGTGATCCTTAAAATGTATCCTGTTTAGAGTCTTATTTCCAATTTTAAAATTGTCGTGGTAAAACGTTTTGGCGTATTTTTGATGCGGAAAACTGGTTTTTTTGAAAAATAATTGAAAATTTCAATTTTTTTGTGGCCAATTGTAACTATCAGGTCTCATTTGTCTCTCACTTATTCGGTGTTGAGCCATTCCAAACGCGGTCGCATAGTATCTTTCACCTTTTTTTTCGTTTCCAGTGTCCTCGAACTGTTCCAAGAAGGAAAAGGCGGTCTCTCAGTCCTGCGAACTTTTCGGCTCCTCAGAATTCTGAAACTCGTCCGATTCATGCCAGCTCTCCGATATCAACTCGTGGTCATGCTGAGGACCATGGACAACGTCACCGTCTTTTTTGGTCTTCTTGTTCTTTTCATCTTCATCTTCAGGTGAACCATTTCAATCTCTTATTTCCCTGCGCACTTTCCTACACTAACAAAACAATCCACTTCTACTTTAACTCTCACCCAAACTTGACTATTTACAGTATCCTTGGCATGAACCTGTTTGGCTGCAAGTTTTGCAAAGTTGAAGAAAAATACCTTGGCGGGTTTGCAAAAAAGTGCGAGCGGAAGAACTTTGACACGCTTCTATGGGCTCTCATCACTGTGTTTCAGGTAAAAGGGATTTTTTTCTGGTTTTCTTGAAGGAAACTGATGAATTCAAGCATGTTGTGGCATGGGTGTTGTGATGGGTGTTGTGATGGGTGTTGAATAGAGTTGTTAGAGATAAGTGTTGAACGCACTTTTTGTTGAGAATGACTGAAATGTCAATTTCCTAAGCAATCTTTGTTAAAAATCTTTTAGATATAAGAAGTTCTTTTTTTTCAAATTTCAATTTTTGGCTGACTGAAGTCATAATTTCGTCAAGTGTAGATTTGTTCTAAGTTGAAAATTCCTCGGTCGCAAGTAGAATGGCTAAACGCGTAACGGCTGCTTTAAAACTATTTGTAATTTTCATGATTCACCGCTAATTCAGTCAAGTTGCTCCGGAACTTTTTCAAAATTTTATTTCGTTCCATGCTATTGAATTTAATTTTGCGCCTTTCCAATTTTGAAACCAAGTTTCCTATTGTGGTTTGTGTTGTCAAGACATCGTGGTAGTGTTTTCAGTGTGCTTGGAATGTTAATGTTCGGCTGCAAGTTCTGCAACGACCCCGAAACGGCTCTACAGTGCTCAAAAGAGCAAGTTTTGGGCGGGGGATGTGACTGCGATAGAATGAATTTCGATACGTTCATTCACGCTACGTTGACTGTTTTCCAGGTTTTTTTAAATTGATGTCGTTTGAGATTGATTTTGTATAGAAATGAGTACATTTTTTTAACGATCTTGCTGATGAGTTTAAAGTCATTTGTAGGAATTTATGACCATTAAAAACTTTTGGGTTCAATACTGGTTCTTTGAAAAGCGAGAGAGTTTGTGTGAATTTGTGAAAGACAGGTTGAATAGTTGTTTCGGAATGGTTTTGGTGATTGTCAATGTTTTCTTGTCTCTCAGTAATTGATGTGCTTACATAAAGAGTCCAAGATATCTCTCAGTTTTCAGAATCAGTTTAGTTTATTTTTGCCTCAAATACTTTTTCAGATTCTTACCCAAGAAGATTGGAACATGGTATTGTTCAACGGAATGGCTCAAACCAACCCTTGGGCGGCTTTGTATTTCGTGGCTCTGATGACTTTTGGAAACTACGTTCTGTTCAATCTACTGGTAGCTATCTTGGTTGAGGGTTTTCAAGAGAGCAAAGAAGAGGAAAAACGGCAATTGGTCAGTTACAAAAAGTTTTCGGAAAATTTTCAAAAATTTCATGAAAAAATTCTTTTCTACTTTTTATAAAGTGCTTTTTTCGTTGAAAACTCATAAAAACCTCCATTGGAGCAATTGATGAGCTTATGCGAATATTGGTGTACAGTTCAAAAATGATTCTAGGAAGAAGAGACCAGAAAGAAAGCAGTAGAGGAGGAGGACGAACGAAAAAGAGAACTCGAGCTTCTAATAGCCAAGTCAACGTCTCCGGCCTTCAACAATGGCGCACCTCCTCCAGCTTGCACCTGTACTCATCCGACGTCTCCCCAGAACGGGAAACAACTTGCAATCACTTATAATGAGGTCTGATAAGCTTTTCAATCAAATAAATCGATATTATTCCAGGACGCTGCCCAAAGAGCCGCACAACAAAACCAAGTTCGGAAAAACGCCACTGACGACGACCTGATGCCAAGAAGGACTTTGACTATTCCAAATCCTGAACGACGACTTTTTGCGAGACATTCTTCACCTTTTGCTAACACGATGGAGAATCGAGAAGAAGCCAACCAATCAAGGCTCAACCGACACGCTTCCTTGGTCCTACCCGTTCAGAACGGAGGTCCTTACCGAAGGCAACGGGTTCATAGTTGGGGAGGACTTTGTCATCATTTCAACCCCAGTTGTCCCGTTCACGGAAGAAGAGCTCTTATTGAGACCTACGCCAGAGAAAAGTTTCTTGAGGTTAGTTTCAAAAGGAATAGTTGACTTCTAGATGTATTTTTGGGCATTATCGAAACTGAATTTCAAATTTCGAATGTTTTTATTTATGGTCTCAAGCAGGCAGGCCCCTTTCTGATGTTAAAAAATGTTATATTTCAAAAAGTTTCTTTCACATAAATTTTCTTCACGTTTTCTGTCTGTTCCAGTTTTTCATCGGCCCGAAAAAAATTCAAGTTCTTCTTTCAAATTTGTTTCTCCTTCTCTCATAATTAAGAATCATCCATGAAACTGTAAAAATGTTCATATTCAATTGCAGGCCAGCCAAGAACTGAAACAAGCCCTGGCCGAAGAAGAACGACGAAATGAAGCCAAGCAAAACACCTTTTGCCGTAAACTGTTCAAGAAGACGTGTCTTTTTGGAAGAACTGAGTATTCCTTGTTTCTTCTCGGACCGAAAAATCCTCTCCGAATTCGGTTTTATAAATATACCGAGTTCATTTCATAATTCCACATTTCAGATGTCTTCATACTGTTCAAAAGAAATGGTTCGACTATACGATTTTATTCTTCATCGGCATCAATTGCATCACTCTGGCAATGGAAAGACCGACGATTCCTCCGGACAGCTTCGAAAGAAAGTTTCTGGACGTTTCTGGCTACATTTTCACTATCATTTTCACCTGTGAAATGATGATGAAGGTTAGAAAACAATATACTTTTTGAATATTTGATTTTTGAAGGTCATTGCCAGCGGTTGCTTCATAGGGCATGCAGCTTATTTTAAAGATGGTTGGAATATTCTCGACGGGATCCTCGTCATCATCTCTCTCATCAACATCATTTTTGAGCTTTTTGCTACTGGAGGTACTAAAAAATGGGAATAATTTTTTTGTAAGAAAGATCTTGTTATAGACTCCCCCAAAATATTCGGCGTCATACGAGTTTTGCGACTTTTGCGAGCTCTGAGACCTCTTCGAGTTATCAATCGAGCTCCTGGAGTGAAGCTGGTGGTCATGACCTTAATATCAAGGTATGATGAAGAATCTGCAAAAGCCTGCGATTTAGACCTGTATAAGAAGATTTTACATTCAAAGCTTGGAAATTTTTCAAATTATGGCTGAAGTTTTTTAATAAGGGTTCTGGCAGTTCAAAAAAAGTCGGCGGAGTTTTTTTTCGAACTCAGCGATACTTGATGAAATTTTTTTCACAGTTTAGAAGAATAGGTTTTCAATCAAGTTTAAATTAATCCAAGCTTCATGCAATCATTTTTTTGAAAGATTCATCCAATCCAAAACTATTTGGGCTTGTAGCCCTATAGTTACAAGATTTTCTCAGTATTTGGTTAATGCAGGGAAAAGATAACTCTTTCTTATTTTTTTATTCCAGTCTGAAACCTATCGGCAACATCGTTCTCATCTGTTGCACTTTTTTCATCATCTTCGGAATTCTTGGGGTCCAGCTTTTCAAGGTAAAATTCTCATTTACCTTCTTTTCCATCAAGTTTCAACCCCTCAGGGCATGATGTACCACTGTGTGGGACCAGAAGTTGGAAACGTCACGACTCGAGGCAACTGCTTGGAAGATCAGAGGAATAAATGGGTTAACCATCGGTACAATTTCGACAATTTGGGACAGGTAATTTGATTATTTTTTAACTGAGAAATGGATTTGAATCTTTCCAGGCTCTGATGTCACTTTTCGTTCTTTCCAGTAAAGACGGTTGGGTATCGATTATGTACCAAGGAATTGATGCAGTTGGAGTTGACATGCAGGTGATTGAACTAAAAAAATGCCCTTTATTATTTTCCGATATAAGGCACCTTGATTGGCTCAAAAACGTCCGTTTTGAGTTTTAGAGCCCCAAAAATATGAGATTATAATGAGAAATCATCCATTTCCAGCCGATCGAGAATTACAATGAATGGAGGATGATCTACTTCATTTCATTCTTGCTCCTTGTCGGATTCTTCGTTCTGAACATGTTTGTCGGAGTCGTTGTTGAAAACTTTCACAAATGCAAAGAAGCTCTGGAAAAGGTTGAATTCATAACTTTTTTCGAAAACAAGAACATGTTTAGGAAATGAGAGAAAAAGAAAAAGAAAAACGACTCCAAAGAAAGTTGAAGCGACAAAAGTTTGAAGAGAGCCTTGCGGGGAAGAAAAAGAAATGTGAGATTTCTTTGAGATTTTCAAAAAAAATTGATTCCAGTGGAACGTTTACATCCCTACTATCACGATTATGGTCATACCCGTCTATTTCTTCATAGTATCGTCACTTCCAAGTACTTCGACCTTGCCATTGCTGCCGTCATTGGTGAGTGAATAAAGGGAATAAAATGCGCTTTGCTTTTTAGAATCAATAACACTAAAAAAACTAAGTTCAAAGTCAGTTTTCATGAAATCAAAGCCTTGAAAGTCACAAAAAAACTAAGTGATTTTACTCAAATTGTTTTTGTGAATAAACAAATTTTTTTACTTTTTCCAGGAATTAACGTAATATCAATGGCGATGGAGTTCTACATGATGCCGATGGGCCTGAAATACGTCCTAAAAGCTCTCAACTACTTTTTCACCGCTGTTTTCACCCTTGAGGCCGCGATGAAGCTGATTGCACTCGGATTCAAACGATTCTTCAAAGAAAAGTGTGTTTTCCAAACTTTTCATCATTCAAAAAAAATTTAGATGGAACCGATTGGATATGTTCATCGTGATTCTGTCCATTGCTGGTATCATTTTTGAAGAATTTGAAGCGTTGGAACTTCCCATCAACCCGACGATCATCCGAGTCATGAGGGTTTTGAGAATCGCTCGAGGTTCAAAACGTAAATCTAAAAATCGAGTATATTGTTTTTTCAGTTCTGAAACTCCTAAAAATGGCAAAAGGCATCCGCTCCCTATTGGACACCGTTGGAGAAGCTTTACCTCAAGTTGGAAACCTCGGATCTCTATTTTTCCTACTCTTTTTCATTTTTGCCGCTTTAGGAGTTGAGCTCTTTGGAAAATTGGGTAAGAAAGTATTTACATTAGAGAATAATAATCTGAATGACTCAGAGTGCTCTGAGGATCACCCTTGCGACGGACTTGGCGAACACGCTCATTTCAAGAATTTCGGAATGGCCTTTTTGACATTGTTTCGGATTGCAACGGGCGACAACTGGAATGGAATCATGAAGGTTAGAATGAACACAGGTTTTTTCTAGGTTTTTGTTTGACTTGAGGTTGAGTTTGAGGCAAAAAGACTTGTATTTGAAAATAAGAATGAAGCGTTGACTGTGAAATGAATATAACTCTAACCAGAAATCCCTACTGAACTGTTTTTGATTTTTAAATTCCACCAAATTTCGGTTTTTTTGCTCCTTCGCACTGAAACCAATTTTTACAAAAAAATTAATAGTGAATTTAGGATCATAGAGTCAAGCTGGGTGAAATAGAAAACAAAAGATTAGGAATACCTTTTTGGACATTTTCAAGCTGTATTTTTTAGATTTTGGTTAAAAATTCATAGAGCCTTGTTATTTTGAAATGTTCCGTAGTTAAAACGGATACTATCATTGAAACCTAAAATATCATTTTCCAATTTCAGGATGCCCTCCGAGACGACTGCGACTCTTCGGATCACTGCGAAACCAACTGCTGCGTTGACCCGATCCTCGCGCCCTGCTTTTTCGTCATCTTCGTGTTGATCTCTCAATTCGTTTTGGTGAATGTAGTCGTCGCTGTTTTGATGAAACATCTCGAGGAAAGCAACAAACGCGACGCCGACGGCGCTGAAAACACAGGTAATTAGACTATTCTCAACTCTTGCATATGAAGATGGAACTTGTTTTTCAGCCGGTGAGTTGACAGAGAATGAAATTGCAAAAGTCGACGATGATGAGAAGGCTGAAGATATCGAAAATGAAGAAATCGAGGAGTTCCAAGAGATTCCAGACCATCATGGAGGAACAAAAAGGCTCTCTATACAAGTGAGTTTAAATTGGACAATTTTTCGATCATTCTCTAGGGACATGATTATCGAAACAATATAAACCAAAAGTTTCAATAATAGTTCTTGAAAAGCTCCTTTTTCGATAAAACTTTTATTTTCTTGAATTTTCTTGAACTTTTCCGATAACATTCTAATTGACTACAAAAAAGATTATTTGGAAGCTTTCGAAATTATTCGATCTTAATGTTAATTTTGAATGCGCGAAAGTCGTTTTTGGTCAGACGCGCTCGCATAAAATTTGCACTGTATCCATTTCTTGTTGAGCTTTTTACCGTGCCATTATGATATTCTATGACTTCCAGGCTAGTCTACAATGAAAATTCAACTTTTTAAACTTCAGATGCTTGAACAAGAACTTATTGAAGTTCAAAATCGGATGGAAGAACGAATGCGAAGACAAAGCGAAGCTCAATTTTCAGAGCTGATCCCTTTGAACAACAATGAAGGTTGGTGGATTTATTAGTAGTTCATCTTTTTTTAAGAAAAAAATATTTTGATAATTTTTTTCGGAGTTTTGGTAACTCAGATGGGAATTTGGACTTTTGAAACACGGAAACTCGAAAAATTATACCTTGAATTTTAAAAAAAGAAGCTTATTGCAAGCTAACTGAATATGTAAACTCCATAAGAAAATCTTCTGGCCAGCATTATGATTGTAAATAGAATATATTCAGGTGATATTGAAGACGATGATGAAGATCTGAATCAGAATAGGAGGCAGCCGTTCCGTGGAAGATCAAGGTGACTATATTTTTCCTGAAATCTTCATCTGAATGAGACTTTTTCAGAACGAACAGCGCCAAAAGTGGCCGAAGCTTCAGAAGCCGGACTTCTTCCCACCACACTACTGCATAAAAATACTTTATTAGGTCTAACCTTACCTGTCCCCCTAGTTTTTTTTCCTGGACATTTTATCGCTACCTGCCAATAGGACTCACGAATATATCATATTGCTTTAAATACCGGTAGATCTTTTTTTATCAAAAATTGTTAGTATTTTATTGATCCTTATCTCATTGTGATTCTCCTCCCATCAATTGCACGTCAATTTTTTCAACTCTTTCTCATCAGGTTTTTTTTTTGAGAATCATTATACGCTATACACATGTGATTACGGTAATGCCTTTTTTGTTTTTATATTTTTTGGAAAACATTTTCCTTCGAAGGCTTTTAAGCCTAGCTTCTTCCGAACCATTTCACTTCTTTTGCGATCTTCTGTGCTGATTTTTTGGTGTATTTTTCGTGTTATTTTCATTTTTTGTTTGATAATGAACGTTTGATCCTATTGATATTTGCAACACGTGGGTTTGGAGAGAAACTAGCGAAAGGAGGCAGACAGACAGACGAATTCGTTGGGATTTTGCATATCTCACGCAACGATTAATATTGAACAATCACTTTGCGTCGCGCCAGACATTCATGATTTATCCTTTAATCCTAAGATTTATTGCTTTGAACACTTTGATCGGTTTCGTTATTCCCTGCTTGAAAACTGTTCCTTCGGACGCCGGTAAATTGTTTTTACTTTCAAATTTTATTATTAACAATTTCAAGGCTCTGAAATAAGAAAAAGAGTTGAACTCCTTAGACTTGCCTTTTTTTGGGGGGCAAATACTTTGTCTTTCAAATTTCTATGAAACTAGTGAATCAAAATTCAAAGTCAAAACTGCTACAGACTATACTGAAATAGGAAAATTCGCGAAAAATGCGAAAATAAAACTTTTTTTTTCGGCTCAGAGCGTCTCTAAAATGGATTAAGCCTGCCGTTAAAGGTTTTTTTAATTTTGACGAGATTTTCGTCAGATACTCAAATTTTGCAAATGCCGAGCGGAATTCGAATTTATTTTGCGGCCGGCCATAGACTGATAGTTCTTGAAATTCTAAATCACTTTCAGGATTTGCTGTGAAATCTCAACCGTCTCCTACGATTCAGTCAAATCAACTTCTTATTGCTCCACAGCAAATAAGTTCTCCTGAAGCTCCACGTGAGAAGAATAATAATTTCCTTCATTTTTTAACCGTTTCAGAAACGATTTCCATAACTGAACCTCAACCTTCAATTCAAGTTGCAATGCCTTCAATTTCCTCTCCTCAGTCCCTGGGTTTACCCATATACATACCTGAAGTCGCTCCCGACACTTCGACAATGTCAACTACAACTACAACTCTGTCTTTGACCGCAAAAAAGTCGACTATGATCGAACCAACTGAAGTTCAAGAAGAAGACATCGGATGTCAGCTTTCTGACATTACTTTTGCGCCTCCGAAAATTTCGGAAAATGAGAAAGAAGGCGTTCTTGAGCCTGTTGTTGAGTGAGTTTAATTTTTGAAAAATCTCAGGGGGATCAGAACCTTGACCTTATGCTTTTCAAAATCGAGATTATTTTACAGTGGAAAATTATGAAGTCGTGACTTTCCATTTTTAACAAGAATTTTTGAAAACACCTGAAGCTCCTTGATAACTGAACGATTAGAAACTTCCAGATGCTCTTCTCCTGCAAAAATTGGCTGTAACACGGCTAAGATCTCTTGTGAAATCCCGATGAACTCAGAATATCCTTTAGTAGCTGTCTTTGTAAGTTTCCTCTTTTCGAAAAAAAATTTGAAAAAAATTTCAGGCCAAAATAAACGGTGTCGACTGGGCCACCACTGACTTGATGACTTCAAAAGCCGAAACCGAGCTTCTTTGTGCACCTGACAAAAATTGGACCTACGTATCTGATATCCCATCCCTGATAGGACTGATCTACGACGCAAATCAAGTTTTCTGCCTTTTAGTCCCTCAAATAACCAACGATTATGAATACGTTTCCGATTTGGACAATTCTGAAGCATTGTGAGAAGAAAAAATGAACAAAATTTATTCCATTTGCATTATATACATAAAATACGTTTCGGTGTTTGTGTGAAATGAGTAAATCATTTCCTTCTTCGGACACAAGATGTTCCACGCTGTTCGAAACTGCTTGCACACCTGGAATTTGATTTTTTTTTCTCCAGAAGATACTTTTTTATTCTACCTGCAAGATCCGGAGCTACAGTACGCTCCTCTTGAACATTGTGTATTGAATACACAACTCTGGCCAGGAACCTGAAAAAAAGAAATTTCACGTAAAAAGTGATGTTCTCTTACCACCAAATTTATTCGTACAACTTGGCCTTGGCAGTTACCTTGTTGGCAGCAGCTTACGGTTGGTGGGCAACTGAAAATTCGAAAAAGAGCTTCTTTTTCAATACGTGGGAAGTCAGGAGTGAATTTGGAATGGCTGAGGTTGTGAAGAAAGGCTTAGGCTCTGTCCCCAGGAACTTTTGTGGGAAAATTCATACTTTTTCGATTTTATCTCAACCAGCGATGAATAGAACTTCGTGCTGATGTAAGATAAAACCTTTTTGGATGAAGTTTTCGATTTTTTGAGACTTTTTTGGTACCCTCACATTTCTAGAGAGTCATCAAAGCATACGTGATTTCATCCTGGAAGATCTGAGGCGTGGTCGTGGAAGGAGTCGTCGTGCTGGACGCCAAAGCTGTAGTCGTCGTGGCTACTGTGGTCGTTGGCGCCTCGGTCGTTGAGGTAGTCGTGGGTTCTTCGGTCGTTGTGGTCGTTGGGGCAACCGTTGTGGTGGTCGTCGTTGAGGTCGTTGTTGATTCTGTCGTCGTCGTTGTTGGCTGGAAATTGATTCAAGTTTTTTTCTAAACTTTGAAGGTTCATATCGAAACTGACGTACAGGCCCTTTTTCAAACCTTTTCAAACCCTCTATCAATCCTGAAAAACATTTTTAAATGAAATCAAAAAAAGTTGTATAATGTTTTTTTCCCTTTCAAAACATCACTACTCAAGTTCCCAGAGCTTTTTATAGAAAGTAAGAGCTTTTTTGCACTCGAGGACAAAAAATCGGAAATGCTATATTTTTTTTCCAAAAATGTTTCATCCACTAGATGGAAGCTTCTGGAATTCAGCTCAAAAAATTGAGACCACAAAACACAGCGCCAAAGCACATCCGCCGTTATTTTCCTGTCGGCCAGTCTTTTTTCGACGCTCGGAGCCCTTTCAACGCATCTTCGACCGTCCTTTTGTTTACCCAATCATTATGTCCGTGTAATCTCTTGTCGGACATAGGTGTGAAAAAAAAATTGTCGCCTGTTCCTTCCTGTTTGGCCGGAAAAAAAATGATTCTTCCAAAAGGTTGAAACAGTGATGTGCATTATAGAAATTTTCAATTTTTTTGGAATTCGCTTAGTTTTTATACTCTAGCAAATTATTTTACCTTTTTTTCATATCAGAATAAGAAAGTAAAGGTCACAGAACTTTTGAAGTAATCGAGATAATTATTGAAAAGTAATTGAATAAAACGTTTGAGAGCTCGGACCGGGTTTATTATTGGATCTGGGGGAAACACTTTTGGTTTGCTGATATTTCTAAAGAACTTCATAAATCCTTGACATACAAATTATTGAGAGAAATTCCAAATTATTGTTGTATGTGCTTCATGAGATCTCATTCCAAAGTCGAAAAGAAATAAGGGCAGTCATCATAATGTTTCAGCTATTTATCACCTCAGGGGTAGTTGTGGTAGTAGTAGTAGTTGTCGTGGTAGTAGTAGGCGCTTCAGTGGTGGTCGTTGTCGTTTCAGTGATCGTCGATTCAGTAGTCGTCGTCGTGACTTCTGGAGCAACGGAGGTGGTGGTGGTCGTTTCACCAGTCTAAAATCAAAAATATGGTTGAAAATACAAATTTTCTCAGAAACCTGCGAAACCAGGACGCAAGCTCGGTTTTCAATCACTTCTCCAGGTCGGCAAATGCATTTGTTCTGGAAATTGGAAAAATTAGCTCAAAAACCTTCAAAACCACTAACGTTCTCGCAGAAGCTTCCACCAACACAAATGACGGTCTCTTGGCAGAATTCTCCTGGATAAGCAAATCCGGGAGTATCGAATTGTCTGAAATCATTGGATAGCGTTAATTAATTGAACTCTGCGCTTTAGGTTAAGTTTTTGATCTTATTGGACTTTTATGTCAAGAACCGGCCACGAAAAATCAACGAAATTGCATTGCGTAATTCTTAAAATGGCCGCCTAATGGGACTCGTTCATCGTCGTAGAAAGCAAAAGTAGAAGATCAAAAAGAAACCTGGAAGGTGAAGTGGTGGATTCTGGGCCAGGGGTTTCGGTTGAAGCTGAAAAGTGAGAGGATTTGAGAGTAAAATGATTCTGAATCTTTTTTGATGTGATTTACACTGGGATGAAGGAGTCTCGGGCTGTTGAGGACACGGTGGAACTCCACAGTAAACTGGCACCTGCTGCTGGATCACGGTTGTGTCGTGAATGTGAAGACGAGGCTGAGCAATCTAAAGTTTGTAATGAAAAAAAAAGAGTGTATGCGATTGGGCAGTTTTCTCTATGGTACCGGGATACTACCGGGGAAGTATCGCGATTCTAACGAGTATAATTTCTGACGAGCGTATTCTTTCCGGTTCTGATTAAGTTTTTTAGAAAATCGAAGACTTGTTTTACCGGGAAAAAAATTTCTGATTGAAAAAAATCGAATTCTCTTTGAAGATATGATTTTTCGAATCTCAAGAGAAAAATCTTTGTTTTCACGATTTTTGATTTTTTGCTCTCAAATCCGGTATGACTTGAGCAAATCAGTTTTTCTTTTGAGAAAGTGTTACTGCGCAGCGATTTGAAATCTGTGGAAAGTTTCAAGTCATTTGAGCCACTTTCAGAGAATTTATGCTCGAATAACCACGTTGAAATACCTTTATGGCCAGTACTGCAATTAATAAGCAGCTACCCGGTAGCTACCTCACGAGCGGTAGCCACTATTCATTTTTGTCCCAGTTAAAGGGACCATATTCTCTCTTTCTTCGATTTCTACTTCACCTGCGCGGGATAGTAAACGACAGGCTGAGCAACAGGTCGGACAACTGGGGCGACTAGTGGCGTCGCGACGTCCGTGTACACTCGACGGTACGTAGTTTGTGTTGCTAAACAGATTTTTTTGTTGATTTTCAAAACTCGAGAACCTCCGGCGGCGACGTGGTAGATTCCTGCTGCAGCAGAAAGTGGCGCTGCTTGCTGAAAATTCTCCGATGGAAGTTTGGGTTCTTGATATTCATGGGCGTTTTTTATCTTTTTAATCACAAAAATGTTCGTCTTTACTCTCTCAACGAACTACTTTTTGAAAATCCAATTTTCCGCAGGCTCGATATGCATTGAACCATCCGTCATTTAAACACAATTCAAGCTTTTTTTCAAGAGCTTTTTTTAAAAAAGTCTGCCTAGTTTTTTGAAACGGAAATAGCGAAAAAAAACTGTTGGAAGACCGCGCTAAAACCTGAATTGTGAAGTCCCAACGTTTTTTTTTCTAGATTTTTTTCTACACAGTTTGAAAAAGATCAAACTGAAAAAAGAAAACACAAAACTTTTTCTTTAAAGGTTCATTACAGCTCAAAAAGCAAAGATAGCATTATGGGAGAATAAAAAAAAATACCAAATTTTTTTTGAAATATAATCCTTGCAGGGTTCACTATTCTCAATCTGAACCCCTTGAACGAATTCGAATCCGAACACCCACTCTCATTTTTCTTCCAGATGACGTGATTCAGTTGAATTTCTTTTTTTGCACGCCATTCAACTCGTTCACAATGTTTGAATGAATAATGGGCTTGAACGAGCTTCTATGGCGTTTTTTTTTTGCAGAATAGCGGAAGTTTAACCTAAGAAAAGATTTTTTTTTTCCTGTCGATTCGAAAAGTTGAAAGCACAAAACTCAGTCAATTCGATGATAAAATAAGACCTTGAGAAACACTCGAGTCATAATAAAAAAAATGAACTCCCAAGACAATTTGATTTTTAAATCACATTATGCCTCACACTTTCTTCTGCTCTGAATTCATGCTTTTTTATTTCAAAGCTCAACATTTTCATGTCCAGGTAAAATAGACTTACCACTGGAGCGCTCTGAACGCACGCCGCTCCAGAAACGACATAAGGTTGAGCGCATTGACAATGTCCTTCAATTCAAAAATCTCGGTTGGGAGACGAAATCTCAAGAGAAAACCTGAGTAACAGACGGCAGGAGGTGCACATGCTACGTATTCGTTACAGGACGAGTAGAGCGGCACTGTAAGAAAATAGAAAATCTTGGAAAAAACTTTTTTTATAAAAAATGTTGAACTCGTCAGCCTCGTAAGAAAAAAAAGGGTTTCTAATCTCCTTTCAAAATCGTTCTTCACATTAAGATTTTGGTTACACAAACCAGTAAAACAGAAGTATGACTCAGGTTAGAAAGACATGAGAAATAGAAAAAAGAAAAAATTGTCAACAAAAAGAACCTTAAGAAAGCTGGGAAAGTGGAATAAATCGTTCTTTCTTGAGAAAAAAGATTCACTCCACCCATTTCAGCAGAGTTCAATCAAGATCGGTTACCTATTTACAAGAGAACAAAGAAATTTGAAATGTCCTATCTTAAATCCCTGTTTCACCCTCCTGGAAAACACCTAAGATCTCTTCCTCCTTCCGGCCAAACAGGAAGGAACAGGCGGCAATTTTTTGTTCACACCTATGTCCGACAAGAGATTACACGGACATAATGATTGGGTAAACAAAAGGACGGTCGAAGATGCGTTAAAAGGGCTCCGAGCGTCGAAAAAAGACTGGCCGACAGGAAAATAACGGCGGATGTGCATGTGCTTTGGAGTCGAGTTTTTGCGGATTTTTTACTTTTTGGAAATGAATTGAATAAAGTTCATATCAAAGCAACAAAAAATTAAATTTAGGAAAAATGGGGTATGATGCTGAAAAATTGATTCATATTGAAAAAAATCAGATTTTGAGGCAACGACCATCAAGACTATCTTTTTGTAGAACCCATTTACGGCTTACTTGGGACGCTAAGGAGCGCGGTCTGTCTGCGCTATCCACCAAACAGGTACTGTCTCTTTTCTTATCGTGCCAGGACCCTTTTTTCAATGGCTCAAGCTAGCCGTGAATTAGCTATAAGCTCGAGAAACGAAATTTTCTCAAAATGAGATTTTGGTAGACTCATCTGATCTTCAAAGTTGTAAAGGAAGACTTGCAAGCTATAAGAACTACTCAAAAATACAAGAGAAAAGATTTAAAGTTGTACAAGCTTTTAAAAGCAAGGCCAGGGAGAACTCTTCTGACTCAAAAAAATAAAGAACAGAAAAAAAGGATTATCACAAATATTTGATCTTCAGGCGATATCATACTGAAAAAGAAGCTTGAAATTTCAAAATTTCCAATCGACAAGTAAAATCATCAAGTAAAAAAATTTTTTTGATAAATTGAAAAAAATTAGTAAATTTGAGGAGATCTTAACAATTCGATCAAAGTTAAAGTTTGAGCTTACAATTGAAAAAAATTCAAAAAAATATTAACGAGATGATAGCGATAGAGATAAGTACACAAAGATCAAATGCATACGAAAAGTTTAAAAAATTAAAAGATAATAAAATAAACTTTGAAAAACGAACCACTGGCATACTGTCGCTTACTACGCGAAAGAGACGCCGATCGAACAAGAAGGACACAGGAAACGAGAAGAAGTCCGACTCGGAGGGTCATGACGTCAGCCAGGTGCTGTGCTCTGCAACGTGAACAACTCACAACGGTTTTCCAGGCAAGCCGCCAACCGTCGCCTTTATAGCCGACGGTCGGCCGCAGACCGGCCCATCTTCCCTAAAAATGTTGTATTTGCCTATGGGCATTCTCCAGGCGCCAATGCTACATACGTAATTAGAAGTGTGGAGGCGCCTGGCGTAACATGAGCAAAAACTCTGTGGCTTTTCGGGAACGAAGGTTTTTTTAGATATTTGCCCTCGAACACCCTTTTCTCGAGAGTAACTTCTTGGGTGGTCCTTGTTTCCTGAGATTTGGTGCTCCGCCGCTCAGCTGGGCTTGTCGGACTTGAACAACTTCGATATCCAACGAAAATATGGTTTAGAAAGTCGCACAAGAAGTAGAAGTTACGTGGTGTATTTTTTTAAAATCGTGAAAATTTTTTTCCACAAAATGAGTCATTTCAATTTGAAGTTTGCTTTTTTTAATTAGCTCAAAGAAGTTTCTCGAAAATTGAATAATTTTCCTTCACATGAATACAAATTATTCAACTTCTACAAGAGTTTCAAGTTTTCCTGTTTCCAATTTTTTGAATTCCGAAGTGTAAAATCGGTAGAAATTTGATTATTACTCTCCTGGATTTCAAACTAGTTAAGAAAAATTGATGAGTTCCCCTTTTTATCCTTTTTTTGCCTCAATTTTAACTTTTTTTCGCCTGATATACCTGAAACCCTTTTTTTATACCAATCGTACAATTGAAAAAAAGCAAACCTTAAAAACTGATAATCATTTAAAAAAATAATTGATACCTGTTCAAATTGCTTCAAGTTTTCTAACCCTTAAAAAAATCATTTTTCAAACACTCTATTCATAGGAATACTATGCATCTTAAACAAGATTTTCACATTTTTTTTGGTCCAGTTGAACTGTGATTTTTTTTCCGCGTCCCATCATGAACGCTTTTTTCTAATTTTAACAATAATTATCTTGTTTTTCGTTTTCTTTTTTTGCCAAACAAAGACGTCCAACCTTTTTTGAACGAAATTCGAAAAAAAACTTTTCATTTATTCACGACTTCCATTTGTCGCGTTTTTCAGAGCCTCATGAAAATTTCACTCAAATCATGGAGCCCATTTTTGAATTTTTGTTTTTGAAAAAAAGTTCCACGTTGCGATAGGAGGAAAAAAATTAATCTCAACCTATATTACCGACCATTTGTTGAAGATGTCTTTTGAAGCTCATGGATAAACTTTAGGTTCTTTCTGAAATTTCCTTTTTTTTTTATCCTACTAACTAAAGAATTTTCATCGTTCAGAGTCAATTATTTCATCTGCAATCAAAAAAAATGATAAAAAAGGAATGCTGTTCACGTCGTGTTATATCAGATTTTGTCTGAAAAAACAGCTTCAAACTCCCAAAGAGGGTACTTCATCGACGGGTTACAATATTTGAAAAAAACTGGCTGAAATGATTTCCCTTTTTCATCACTTTTTTGCCACCTGAACTCAATTATTCGGTTATAAGAATTTTTGCAGAAACTTTTTAGTGTTGCATGAGTTTTTTGCGACAATTACACATTTTCAGATGATTGACATTTTCCAGGAGAATTTAATTTCCTCATTCTTCTTCCCCATTTTCGATCTTCTGCTCTTGATTCAGTGACCTTGCTATTTTTAGAATTTTTTCTCTCAGAAGTTTCTTAATTGGATTGGAAACTTCTGAACAAGCAATGAAAAAAACTTTGATTTATTGAGCTCAAAAAGCTCATTTTGCACAACTTCCTTATCTTCAAGAAAAGTTCTTTTTTTCCTAAATTTTTGAGTGAACTTATTTTTTTCACAAAAAGTGACAGGTATGCAGTTTGAAAATTTTTTTGAAAATTTCTTGATAGATTTAATGACTTGGGACAATTTCTCAAAAAGTCTATTCACGACCATGTCATAATGATCGAAAAAAGAAGATTTTGAAGTCTTTGACGGGGTTTTTATCGTACAATTTGATCATCAACGGAGACCCTAAAAATTCTTGAAGTTTCTGAAGTTGAAACAATATAAAATTCTGTGGTCATGCATTTTTTTACATCTCGTTTTTGGTTTGTTGATCCCAACAGATGCGCAGTGACTGGCGGACCAAAAAAAACGTCAAAAAGACGGTCATGATTCATGAAGAAAAAGAAACATAAGAATATTAGCAGAGCACAAAAAGGGCTTTGTATCTTCCGCGACGGCATTTTGGCGACCAGGCCGTTTTTCCGGAACGTAACGACGTCAATGGAGTGACAAAAAAGCGGCCGTGCACTTGTACACGCGGCGCCTGTTTGACACTTTCTGGCGCGTCGTCAAACACAACAACTGCGACGTGAACGCTTTAGACTGCTCATTTCGGGGGGCTTCGTGAACAAGTTATTCTGCGTGTACCGCTGCAGGTCGTCTTGGGTTCAGAGATCAGCAAAAAAGGTGAATAGATTGGTCTTTTGGCTTGTTTTTTTTTCCTGTCTCGAGTTTCGATTTCAAACTTGGACTTGGAACTTTTTTTTGAAGGTGTTTGATTAATCTAATAACTTCATACTCTCCCTCTGGAAATTCTGGAACTTCAGATAGTTTTGGCTAACGAAGGATGTCTTGAGTTTCGGCTTCGAAACTTGTTCTCAAAGTTGTTTAAGAATCTTTATCCAAAAGTTTGAATTTTAGGAGTTGGTTGCTGAAAAGGAGGCCCATTTACCTTTGCACTAAATTTATTGAAATTCACTGGGACATTTTCAAACAATGTGAGGAGGTCTTGAGATTCGTGGTCTCGGAATTTTATACACCTAGCATTTGAAGGATATGAAATACAGATAACCACATGTTCAGACAACAACAAAAAAGGTTTTTCCTGGCTAAATCTTTTTTTTCTTCTCGAGTTTTGAATTCAAAGGTTTAATTGGGAACTTGTTGGGATACTCAAGGGCCCTTTAAATTTTAACCAAGTTTTTTAGATTTCAGAAAGTGATGGCATACAAGGAATACCATTTCCCATGATAATGTTCATATCAACCGATCTTTGCAAAGTGGTTCGGGTTTCAGTAAAAAATAACTTTCAAATCCCTATATTTTTTCCCCAGTAAAAGTACCATCTAAAGTTTTTAATTGTATATTTTCGATCACTGCAAAAAATCCATCAGGATTATTTTCAGTAATTTAAGCGTCCAAGCCTAATTTCAGAAAAAATTCGAAAAAAAAAGACTTTTTTGAGGAATATCCGAGTTCTAACCAAAATTTTGGTCAAGAACTTCCCCTCTGGTGTTTTAAACTCCTATTCGAAGAACGAGTTCCAGTTTTACAACTCTTTACCCTTCACATTATGTTCTATTCAAGTAGAGTGTCGTCCAAATAAAAAAAATAAAAGACCTTTGCCATTTATCTTTAAAGATAATATGCAAATATTTTTGCTTTTTGATGATCATTCTGCTGAGCATCACCACTTTTTTGATAGCTTCAAGGGCTTCAAAATGAAAGTTCTGCAAAAAAGATCACGTATGACCTTATTTCAGACGGAGGGGAACTGGAAAAGAGCCCAAATAAGTGAGTCATGGCAAAATGTTTGACTTGTTGGAGTGTACTCATATAATGAACATATTGGATTTCCAGCGTTCTTGTAAAGAACCAAGAACGCAGTGAAAAAACCAAGACCGGTTGAAATTTTTTATGGTTTCTTGAAAACACCTGAGTGCCAAGGAAATGCTTTGAAAATAAAACTTGAAAATATGGCGAGGAGGTTTTTTTTGACGTTTCCGTGACATTCTTTTGCTGCGACATAGGCACAGTATCACATATTACAACGAAATCGCTTAACTACAGTAGAAGACCGGCTGAACTCTTCATATCTTTCAAATTTTCTCAATGAAACTCAAAAAATCATGTGAAACAAGTGCAAAGAAAATCGTTATGACATCTGCCAGTTTTCGAAGCCAATTCACTCATTTCTCGAATTTGTCCAGCTAACGATTGTTTATCTTAAACTTTGACAACTATTTTTCGAACAAAATCTGAATTTTTTCCTGGCTTTGTACCTTGACCATCAGTGGATGTTCAACTTCTATTTTCTCCAGCCGTTCATAAATAATAAAAGCTGCAGCGTGCCATTTTTAGTCCACGTATTGTTGTTGCATGAAGGTCAAACAATTACCTCATTTCTTTTGCGTTATTTGATCTCGGACGCTTCTTGAACTTCTAACCGAAAGTTTAGACCTATTCTCGCTCAAAATCTCACTCCCATTGAGGGGATATGTCGAATCTTGCAGTTTTTATTTTCTCATCTACTTATGAATGAAAAAAGAGTCCTCGATCAAAATACGGATTAGACGGCAACGTGGGTTGTGTGTTTCTTCCCGAAAAAGCACCTAGAAGCAAGGTGATGTCATTCCGCAAACTTAGGAAAGGCTTTCTAACTGCATAATGCAAATTCTCTCGGAAACTTCTTTGGACGTTCATTAGCCGTCTTTGCACCGGGATGTTTTCAAATGTAGGTTCGATGGTCAACGGCAAAAGTTTTACTTCAAATTCTACACCGAGACAAGTATCGAAATGAACCGGACAATCGAAAACATATACATTGAGTTGAGATCAAAAGAAGGTTGACTCTTGAGGTTTCAGACAATGACGAAGAAATTCGGTTCGTCGCCTTGAGGACCATATGGAGGATCGGCAAATCCGTAGGGCTGTTCATAAGGCGCTGCATAACCGACTGCTTTCCTGAAAAAATAAACTATTAGTGTCTCAGAGACTAAGTATGGAGTATTCAAGCTTATTTTTTTTTTTTGGGCTGGCTAAAAAATGGGGAGACAAATCCGACCCAGTATTTTTGTCAAATTGAGCGGAATGAGCGAGCTCAGGGAAATATCAACTTACTTATTGGAATGATTCAAAAACTCAATGAAAGCTTCCGTTTTAATAAGGAAGTGTTGATTTGATCAAATAAGGAAGTTTTGGAAGCTACTGGAGCAGCTTTGGAAGAGGAATGGCCAGGATATATTTTTGTACGAGGGCGAATTGAAAAGATGTTTTTAAAATTTCACAGTCTGTTTTTAAAACTATAACGGTACTTGAGGCAGTTCCCTTTTTAAAAATTTTTTAGCCATGATAAAAGTTCGAAATATACGGTTTTCAAGAGTATTGAAAAAATAGAAGAAAAACCAACTTGTTGTGGATCTGCTTGAAAATGTTGTTGAGGATTTTTCCCTTGTTAAACGAAGTCGGAATAGAAAAGACTGCAAGGCACAACACTAGCAGAAGCAGCAAGTGGCCCAGTCGGAGCATTCTGAGAATCCTGGAAACTGATAAATGCCGTTGAATAGTCCAGAAGATGAAGAAGAAGAAGAAGAAGAAGAAGAAGACGTGAACGTTAGACGGATGCCTTGTGGGGACGCGTTATTACTGAGTTTTGGGGCGGAGCCGCAGGTTCTGACATGAACGCGAGCTAGGAAAGCACGTGTCATTTGCAGCAACGCCCTTTGTCTCAACTTTTTTTTAGTTTGGATTCTTCTTGGATGTTCGGATAGTGCTTGAGGTAGCACAGGAAGTGACTAAGAAAAAAAATTAGAATGTATTCGACTGATCAAAACGAGAAATGCAACCTTAGTTTCGTGTGCGGAGGAACACCATCCTCCTGAAATTGAAAACAAAAACTTGAAAATTCAACTGTAACCAAGAGACCTTCGACTAAATTTTGGTACTGGACAAAATGAAAGTCTACTCGAAAGAGCCAAGAAATCGAGATAATTCTTCGAAATTTTAAAAACGTCCTAATTTATTCTTTCGTTTGGGACCAGGGAGAAAATGAAAAATAGCTTCATTCCCTTTTTTCAGCTTTTTGAACGCCGCAGAAGCAACTATTGTCTTTCAAAAAAATTGGGCTTGCTCTGAATGAAAAATGAGAGATTCTCTTGAAGGTTGAAAGTTCAGACCTTGTTTGGATATATTTCGACTTTTTAGCTCTTACAGGAAATACAAAATTCTTTTTTGTCAAGAATATACAGCAAACGTTTAATTAAAAAAGGATGACAACCGAATTCGCCGGGGAATTCGGTTTTTACGTAATACGGGCAAAAAACCCAAAAATGGGAGGAGAAAGCGTTCATTTGGCCATTTGGAGAGAGATTCGCCAAAATCATCAAAATGGGTTATTTTTGGATCGTTTGGAAATATATTTCAAAAAGGATACTGTCCAAGCCATCGAGAATATCAGAGAATTTGGCTCGTGCCAGGAAAAAAAAACAACAAAGAAAGAAAGAAGTGTTAACTAATTGATAAATGAGTTGTTTCTAATTATTGCGACGTTTTTTTAGATAGAAAAAAAGCTTCTATTCAGTTTTTGGAGTACTCTGAATCAACTACTAAATGACAATCCTGAAAGAAAAACCAGCAACTATCATGATTATTATTTTAATCGTCTAGAAAAATAGTCGTCACATCATTTCTGTACTGAAATAGAGAAAAAGCTGTCAAAATCAGCTTCTTTTTTTCTAACTGCAACACAAGGCACACAAAAACGAAGTTTAGAAAACTCTGAATAGACTTTCCAGACGCGACAAAGTGAGTTAAAAGGAATTGTTTTTGTCTCCAAGCTCAATGACGTAAAAACTGAAATACGATTTTCAAAATTTCATTTTTTTTTTCACATTGGTGTTTTGTGGGAAAAAATAATGTTGGAGTTCGCAACATCGTAATTAAAGTCAATTATCATCATTATGGTTAGTTTGCAGCAAAAAATATGATCACAAGAGCAGAGAGTAAAATGGGAGGTTAATAAACAGCTTTACTCTATTCAAACTCAATAGACAACGCGATGGTTGCAAAAGAAAAAGTGATGGGAATTTGAAACTTCAAAATTTTTTGAATTTACCTGCCATCATGACTCTTATATGTGAGAGGAAAAGCTTACAAGAAATTTCATCGTGCACTTTTGTAGATACCCGGCGGAAATATTTCAAAAATCAGCCTTTTGTATTCCTAGGTTTTTGAGAAAACTTCGGAAGGTCGAGGCATAGTATCGATCCCTTATTGATTAAATGAAGTCAAGCACAGACCTTTGAAAATCTAGTCAATCAAAGGAAATCTCATAAAACTTTCTCAGAAAACTCATAAAAAGGCTATGTTTTGTAAGGCTCCACCTCTATAAGTTTTTGGTATTCAAAAAAATTCACTCAAAAGATTCTCGCCTGCCCAAAGAACTGGAACCTTGAAGAATCAGCTTTCAAAAAAAAAGTTATAGATACTTATCATCATGTTGCGACCGGAAAAATTGAATAAAAAACCGCTAGCTTATTTTGAATAGAGAAGCATATTAAAGTGCGGGAACCACAAAATGGTCGGTCGCGCTAGAATAAAGACTGTCTGATCGATCAGAAACAGTGATGATTTTTTTCTAACCAGTCTTTTGATGATTGTGTTTTTTTCTTAAATGATTCAACGATAAAAATTTTAAAAAAATCAATCTCGAACTGAACGGTTATTTTTTTCTGAAACTTGGAAAATAATTTTTAAACACTAAATGCTGGACGTAGCCGAAAAAAGTTTGAAGAAAAGGAAGATGAGTGAAATTGGAAGTGCTTTTTGTGTTCTCAGTGGTATAACTTCCTCCTTCATGTAGTTCTCTGAAGTAATGTTGCGAATTATTAATTACGAGCGTTTCATTTGCTCATCCGAGATCCATTTCAGCTGACTTCCCATTGAAATAAGAGCAGTTCGTCAGAAAGCCTAATTGACTACTCGGAAGTTCATATTATCAAATTTCGAACTTTCCGAGAATGATGAAACTGAAGGACCTAGGAACTCTGTTCTAAGATCCAAGTTGCAATGATCACTTCTAACTTAGGAGTGCCAGAGAGCTCTCTAAAGGAGTTATTAGAAAGCAAGTTCTATAGGTTTGGATGGTCGTGTTAGGGGTTTTAAGTGATCCCTATAGGAGTTTCGGATCTGACACCTAAGCCCCCAGAGCTTAAGGAGTTTATGTGGTCTTTTGATAATTTATTCAGATTTTAAAATCAACCAACCAAAATTCCGTTTTTTGTTGATATTTTTCATTGAAATATGATTCGTTTAGTTTTTCGCATGAAAATGCGTCTTCATTAACAATAATCAACTATGACTCCTAAGGGCCCCTTTCGTCAGCTTTGATGGCCTCTAGAGGGAGATGAAGTGGCCCCTAGAAGAGATACTTCAAGGGTTCCTGAGGCTGCCCCTAGAGGGATCCCTCTGGAAGTTCTAAGACATGCAAAGTGAATATTTCCACCCCTATCGGAACGAATCTAAACGTTGCGGCATTTTTGCGTTCTAAAAGTTTATTGAGACCGTAAGATTCATCCATCGAACTGAGAATGTCCATGAAAATGTACCTCAATTTTTGTAAATTTGTAAAAACCTTCTTGCTCCTTTGGAACACTGCTGCGCAATCCATTTTACAGTCGGATGCGATGTAAAAAGGAATTCAGACACTCTGTTTTCTATTATTTGAACAATGACGGTTTGAAAAAAATTAAGCGCTACAGCGTGTGTTTGAAAATGACCCATCTGAAAATTTATTTGTTTTTCAATAGTTTTTTTTTCAACCTATGATACAGGTTGCCCGATCTGCAATCGTCAAACAGCCATTCTTTTTTTTGCGGCCATCTCATTCCAAATCAGAATGAAAAAATAAAAGTGTCTTCAATAAAAAGACGGAAAAGTTTGCTGAAAAATCTGCTTCATAAAAAAATTTCAAGCTGCCAGATCTTTAATGGTTTGTAGTACATCGGTCCTGAACCTCATAGACAATTCCATTCAACTTCTGGAAAAAGAAGGTCCAAGGACCACAAAAAAGTTCAAACCCAACAGACTCGTAAAAAACTTTGGCTCACTACCAAGCTAATTAGATTCTTATCGGGTGCTCCAATGACATCAGTGTGGCCAATTTTAACTATTTTCCACAAATTTGGGTAATTTTTTTTTTCATCAAACTCAAAATTTAGTTCGCCAAACATGAAGAAATGACATTGATGAGAAGATACTGGAGAGAGTATGTTGATAAGGATTTTTTCTTCAGGAAAACTTGTTGAGGAAAACTTCTAATACCAGTTTTTGATACCATTTTTGTGGTCAGAGACCAGAAGTGATTTCTTCATCTCAAATAAACGTCCTGAATCGAAAAGTCAAAAATTGCTCAATATCAGCTTGAAATGACAGAAAATTTCAAACTAGAGTTACGTGAAATTTTCATAATTTAAAAGAAAATTGCATAATTTAAAATTCGGAACCTATGATCTTGAACCAAATTTTTTTTTTAAATAAGTTACAGGCTCTTTCATGATTTTATTACTGGCTAAGTTTTCGAGACTTTTTCCTTAAATGAAAGATTTAAACGTATAAGCTTCATCCCTTTCAAATTCCCAAAATACACTATTCATAGCGCACTCAGGTTTCTGATCAGCCGCCTGACACTCTTTCTGAACAAAAAAAGTTACAACAATAGTGGTCACCACCTTTTTTCAGAAGCCTATCTTGATGTAAAATGGAGACACTTTCGAAAAAGTTGATGTTTGCTTCGTGGGTTATCTCCCAGAGGTACGGAAAGCATTTATTCTCACAGTTCGGTTTTACTTAATTTGCATCAAGCTCAAACTTTTGGTCGCAGATGGAATGGCTTCAAGATTCGGGGTCTCTTCGCTAGCAAAATGACGCCTAGAGCCGGCTTGATTTTTAGCAGAATCTACAAGATTTGACATCAAAAGTGCTTCCTTAGAAGACCCCTCATCAGCTTCTAAGGATCGAGTCATTACAAATGCGACCGTGCGTTATTAGACAAGATAATGGAAAATAATTTTTCTATCTTTGACATTTTTATTCGGCTTTAGATCTGACTGCTAAAATGTTTCTGCGGCCGAACAAGGCATTTCGCAGCTCATTTTGACGAGGGAATTGAAGAATGTTTCCTTGTAGAGTTATAGTCCACAAAACTGTTTCAATTCCTAGAAAAAAAAAACTCAAAAAACACCCAGTTTCCTGATCAGCTGCTTAGGATCCTTCCCAAGCAAAAAAAGTTACAGCGATAATGGTCACCACCCTCCTCGGAAGCCAATCTTGATGTAAAAACGGAAATTTTCTCGGAGAAATTGATGTTTGCTTTGTTGGTTTTTGCAGCAGTCCGCGGGAAACTGTCCGCTATCGCTGGCGGTTGACTATGGCAAGCAGAAAAAAAGACATTACAACACTGTTCGCACTTTCAAACGCCCTTCTCGTAACTAAGAAGCGAGATGCAGCAATCGGTCCGAGTTATTGAACGGAGGCCTCCCTCAAAGGCCAAAACTGGAAAAAAGTGTAGCAAATCGGTGTTCGGTGGTGGGGCGCCAGACAGCAATTGATTATCGACAGGAACCACACGTTTCACTTTGGAATAAATGAATATGACGATGGCAAAAAGCGAGAGTCAAAGCCTTCTTTTTTTGAGAGCTGAAAGACCGCTTTTTTGAAGTATACACATCGCAAAAAACGAAATCGTGGCATACGGACGGAAGCGGGAAAAAACGAGATCTAAGCCAAGTTAAAACAGAGATTCTGACGGCATTCGTGTTAGAATCTTCTTTAATCGTATGAAAGATGGCCAAAATATTTAGAGGAGCCGAAATATCCAGAGAAAGAAAAATATTTTATTGGTTTATATCTCGAAAAATGCTGCTTTTTCGAATTTCATCAAGAGGGACAAAGATTGCATTCCGTCAAAATAAAAATAAAAACGAAAAAATCCTACGAAATTTAACTTTTAAGGCTCTTTCCGATGTTCAATCACTTGGATATTATTTCCAAAACTGGTAAGAAAAGATGAAAAAAAGACCTTCAAGTTTGAAACTAGAGAAGGTCGTATAGGTTCAAAAAGCATTATATTCTATACCACAAGCCAGCGGCTTGTCAGTCCCGCGGGAGATTTTTTCTATTCTTTAAACACTCCAACAAGCTTCTGTCAATGAACATAGGTATTAAAAACCAAAAAGTTCCTGTGTACCTTTGACCACGCCGATATTTCCAGCTTTCTTCTGAAAGAAACTCATAATATTTGGAAAAAAATGCCCATTTATTTATTTTATTCGTCTCGGCTTTGAAGGTAATGGCAAGCGGCTGTAAATAGCTTTAATTTGATAAATCAAATTTTTTTGTTAGCTTATGTTTCCGCCGTAGACCCGGAAGGCTCAATATTTGAGATTTACAGCCTCCAAAAATCATCAAAAAAAATTGATGTTTTTCCGCACATATATACATATATTCTATGCTTGGCCTTTTTCTGTCGATAAAAGAAGTTCTTGAGCACTTCTGAAGGTCTGAGGGATAGATTAAATGAATTTCAGCATGAGAGGCTCTAAATTTACTGTGTAACAATAAATGACCGGTCTCATTGTGATTATTTTTTTCAAAGTTCTCCCGCGTCTTTGAACACTCTGCCAAGCCATCGTGAATGATCTTTGGTTCTACAGACCATGAATTTTTTCTGGAGCGGTTACCGGCATCAAACAAACAAATCTTCAAAGCTTCCAAAAAACCTTGTAACAGGTTTCAGGAATTGTAACTCGATTTTTGATTTTTTCAAAGACGAAAACGCGAGAAAACAGCCCTTTGAGAAAAAAAAAACTGAAGCCAGAAGATACAGAAGGTCCACAGTGAAAGCGAAAATGTCAGCTCAGTTTAGTTTTACGGGACAGCAAAAATTTTTTTGCTAAAGCCATGACAGTTCGCATCAAAAAAGTCTCAGATTTTGTTTTTTTTTTTCTGACCTAGCATATCTTACAAGGGAGGTCATTCTACTTTGCGGTTGGGAATTTCCCGTAAACTGGTCAAAAAATTTCTCAATGTACCAGATCCTGAAAGTCTTGACCTGCACCCTTTCCTAGTTTTCGAAAAAGGTAATCTTTTCAAATAGGCTATTTTGAGGCTTTAAGCGCCTATTTCTCTAAAAATTGGAAGCTGTGTAGGTTTAGACTTTCAGATTCTTCTTCTGGTACACCAAAGAGTGTTCTGGGCAGATTTCAGGAAACTCCCAAGCGCAAAGTAAAATGACTTCCCTTGTTAGTTCGATTTTTTTTCTCTTGTTTTCGAACACTCCCGCAGACTGCTAGCAATGAAATTCGATGCTTTTCTCCGAAATTGTTCAAAAAGCGAAATGTTGGCTTTGAAGCTTCCCTGAAGGTGTCTGATTCTCGATTCACGAAAATATGAGTGTCGAGATCGGAAGGAGGTGTCGAAGGAGGGAGGCCGCTCGTTCTTGACTTTTGGCGCGTTTTTACAGTGCCCTCGTGCAACTCGCATCAAGTAGGGGGGCGAGGCAGCGTTGGCGGCGAGGAGAGTGGAAAATTCTTAAATGAAAGAAAGAATTCGAAATCATTGACGACGGCTTCAACCGCGCCGATCGCCGCCGCCGTCTGCACACAACCAAAAAGAACAACCTGGCGCGGTCGGGCTCATGCTCAGCCGGTCGTCCAACTCATCTCATGCTCCTACTCCTATACCTGACCACCACGATTCCATGGGTTTCATCTTCCGGACCTAAACGGCGTTCGGCCGAGGAGAAACCTCCGAACATTCTATTTATTATGGCTGACGACCTGGGTTACAACGATCTCGACTGGAAAGATGACACGTTCGTTTTTTTTCTTTCTTACACTTTTGATGATCCTTTTGTGGTTCTCCTCTTCCGTGTTGGTTTTTTTTTTGAGAGGGAATGGACTTCCGTTGAGGACAGCAAAGGAAAAAAAGGGAGTTTTCATAGAAAATCCAGTGAAATTTTACAGAAAGGACTATTAGGTTTATAGTCTTCTTTGGATTTTTTTTTCTTTTCACCAGCTCAGAAAAAAGAACCTGCAGACATTGTTGCCGAAACGAGATCGGGAATCAAATTTTCCCCTGGTTTTGTTAATAAGTACAAAATTCCAGTCTCCACACTCCAAACCTTCGAGAATTGGCGTTCAGCGAAAACACGGCAATTCTAACCAACTCGTATGTCAACCAGTTATGTACACCGTTAGTTTAAAGTTTATTTGCCTTGAAATGACTCTCGCTTTTTTTTTCCAGGACGAGAAGCGCCTTCATGACGGGTTATTATCCGTTCCGAGTTGGGACACAAGTAATCACAAAAAACCAGAAATTTCTCAGAACATTTTCAGAACGGTGTGTTTTTGCACATGGAGCCCTCAGGAGTGCCGGAAATGTTCCCGTTTCTACCCGAAAATCTCCGTGGCCTCGACTATTCAACTTACCTCATCGGCAAATGGCATTTAGGATATTGTAGGAAAGAGTATCTGCCCACGAGCCGCGGCTTCGATTACTTTTACGGGTTTTATGGCCCTCAAACTGGCTATTTCAATCACAGCGCTGGTGAGACTTTTCTCCTAATTTTATTGCTTTTAATAGCCCAAGTTGAGTCTTTTTGGGGGTTGAAAACAAACAATGAGAGATAAAAAATATTTCGAAGTTACTGAAATTTTTATCAGCTCATCATTTGATAAGGGCCAGATCATTCATAACCGATTGATAAGGCTTTCCGAAACCAGGAGAAGAAATCTAACAAAGAATCGTAAAAAATAATGGGCTCCTGAAACTAGACAAACTCCAGCAACAGCAGAAAATGCTCTGGTTGCAGGTGAATAAGCGAAATTTTCTAAACATGCTAATTTCGTGATGGAAAAGATTCAATTAAAAATGAAAGACTTCCCAAAAATCAAAAAAATTTTAAATACTCCACTGCAGATGCGCGCAAGCCGTTTTTGTAGTCTGTTGCACTTTCCTAGAAATCATTGAGCCATTTGCGTGTGAGCAGCAGATTTGAAGTGATTTTTCATTTTTCAACTGCTCTTGCAGTTTTCTGAGACTTTTCTGAGACTATTAGAAAAGTTTGATTTTCCCCATAATAAAGGAAGATGAGTTAGAAATTTTCAGACCAGTACCACCGGGATTTGAAAAGAGTAGTGAAAGGAATGGACCTTTTCGAAGAATCTGGCGACGGCAACAGCATTCCTGACTTCAATCAGAAAGGAGTTTATTCCACGGTAACTCTTTACCGACTATATTCTCTTTTCGAAGGCCTTTTTCCATCCTGGACTGAATTTCTAGCTAAGTCTAGAGTTATTCGAATTTCAGAGAGCAAACTCTTTTTACCCCGACTTAAAATCGAAGAAACTATAATAAAGCTTGGACTGCTTCGGATCAGAAACAGTTTTGCTTTTTTTTCTAAGTTTCCAGAAAAATCTTCAGTTTTTTGTCCAAGAAAAAAGTTAAGTTTTCATGATCATTTTTCAAGAAAAATTTTAAAAAAAATTCCAGAGCAAAAGCTGACTCATTATTATTAACATACCATTTTTTCAGGACTTGTTCACCGAAGTTTCAATGAGTGTTCTTGACAACCACAACACGTCAAAGCCCTTCTTCATGTTTCTGTCATATCAAGCCGTTCATCCTCCGCTTCAGGTTATTTTTAGATATTTGATTATGTAATTGAAATGACGGAATGTTCCGAAATGCTCATTTTCGAGAGCTTCTGGGGAAACAATGATTTTTTTCAGGTACCGAAGTCTTACGACAAGTACTGCTCACGGGTCAAGTCACGTTATCGGCGGATTTACTGCGGTTTTTAAAATCCTTTTTTAAATAGGGAAAGTAATTAGTTAAAGATTTTTGATTTGATAATAGGAAGGGAAAGCTTGCTGTCTTTAGCGTTATTGACATAAATTTTTTTGTTAACTCATCAGCGTTTTCTTAAATCCATCAATTCCCTATTTTTTTCAATGACTTTTTCATAAATTAAAGTTGATAGCTGGTTTTTTTATTCTGAAACAAAGTTTACGAATAGTATTTATGTATGGTGTTGAGCCTCTTTTCTCAAAACCAGTACAGTTTTCATCATTGTACAACAAAAATATTTTGGTTCAGCTCCAAAAATGGCGTTACATCGATATCACAAAAAAAACTCAGGTATGCTCACGGCGATGGATTTCGCGATAGCCATGTTGATCGACTACCTCAAGTCAGCCAATCTCTATGAAAACACTGTGATCGTGTTCACAAGCGACGTAAGGTAGACCGGAGAGTTGGCAGATTCTATCGGCTTGTGTGGTTTTCAGAATGGCGGCACTGTAGACTTTGGAGCTTCGAACGCACCTTTGAGAGGCGAGAAAGACACAATTTGGGAAGGTGGGACCAAAACGACGACTTTGGTTCACTCGCCCAGGTACATCAAGAAAGGTGGCGAGCGGAAAATGTGAGTTTTACGTAATTATTTCTTCGGGTAGCTTTTTCAGAAAATCGTTTCGTCTTCAAAAAGACCTTAAGCCTGTTATTCCATGAAGCTCATGAGATAAAGTTACCTTTCTTGGTGATAAAGGTCACATTGACATTAAAAAAAATTTTGCGCATTTTTGTGAGCTTCTCGTAACTATAAAAATCATCGATTTTGCGCATCCTCAAAAAATGGTTAATTTTTTTGAGGCCACTCCATCCTCAAAATCACTAAATTTGATTTTCAAGCATTTTTAAAAGTAAAAAAAAAACGTTTCAGGTTGTTCCACGTAGTCGATTGGCACGCGACACTTCTGGGAGTTGCTGGATTGAACGTTGATTCTTACGGTTTTTCAAAAAGTTTCATCGTTTTAAAAATTATTGATATTGAGGTGATGGTATAAACCAATGGGACTACATTTCCACTGGAAAAGCCAGACAAAGACGGTTTCAGTTCGTATACAATCTTGATGTTCATGGTTCTGCTATACGGTTAACTTTTTAAAATTGAAAAGCAGAATCAAAAAGTCGATTCAGGGACGGCGATTTCAAACTGATACTAGGAAATCCGGATCGAAAAACCAAAAGCGACCGTAATAAAGTTCGACTTTATAGAATTACAGGTAAAAAAAAATCCTCTTAATTTACCTTTTTTGGTTTTTGAAGGCGGTTGGGGTGCTGATAATGATGTTTCGTAAAAAATCTGAAAAGTATTTCCTGTATTACTAACAGCTCTACAAAGTTTCTAAATATGGTATAAAAGGAAAACAAACGCTATTTCCGATGAACTTAAAAACAGGGAAAATGATTGGTAGCACAACTTTTACTGAGATTTCCATCATTAAAAAAACAGTAATTTTACGAATTAAAAGTTATAACCCATTCTCAAAATGTTCAAAGTTGATTTGAATGAGAAAAATGAACGATTTTCTGCAAAATGCCGTTTGAAAGCCCACGAAAAATCTGACAAATTAATAACAAAAAAACTTTGCGTCTCCTTCAAATTATGTGTAAGTAAATTCATTTTACAGTTGACCCAACTGAATCAAAAGATCTCTCGAAATCGAACCCCATCGTCGTCAGAAGGTTCAACCTGTTCAAAAATTATTACCCAACTTGAAAATGTCTTTAGGTTGCTCAGTAAAATCAACGAGCTGAAGAAATACATGCACAAGAACGTTCGAAAGCCGCTGAGCTTGTCAGGAAGCCCGGAGAACTTCAACGGAACATATTCCAGTTATTGGTGCCAGTGACAATTTATCTTCAAGAATATTGAAAGCTTTAACTCATATTGTTTAGGCGTAGTAAACAGATAGAAATATGTAAATAAATTCATTTAAAGCTTCACACACGATTGAGACCCAAACAACTGTTATAAAAGTATAATGCGTCAAAATATTCAAATAAAGTCAGAGGGAGCATGATGGTTTAAATATACTTGCTAGCAGTAAAGCAAGGGCCGTTTTTCTCCACTTGCTGCTCAGTTTCTTTCTGAGCTCCTGGCGACAGTTCAGGGACGGTCACGTCCTTCTCATGCTCAGATGAACGACGTTCTCCGGGAGCCAGCTCCTCTTCCCGGTCAGCTCTTTCCGCAGCTGTTTCAGGCTTCTTCTAGAATATTAATCATAGTTTGAACTTCAATTCAAATCTTTACCTCATCCATGGTAGACTTCTTGCTTGCCGGACTGTCTTCCCAGGATTTATCCGTGTCCACAGCAGTTCGCTAAAAAATATTCCATATTTCAAAGTAGGTGAGACATTTTCGTTCTCACTTTGAAAGTTCTCGATTCAGAATCAATGTTTCCAAATTTTTTCTGCACGTTTGCCATCCGATTTTTTAGTTCCTCGGCCTGTTCCTGAAAATGAAAAGGTTTCAAAAGAAATATATTATTTGAATAAACCGCTCTTAATTGTCTTTCGTCTACTTCGTAGGCGATATTTAACATTCGTTCGTATTCAAATCCCGATAGATCGTCCATTGGGAATGGGCCCTGCAAAAATGTAAGTATAGAATATACCGCTCAAAAATTATCGTTCAACTTGAAAAACTTGTTCCAAACGCTTAGTAAAATCAATGAAATAAATAAACATATGCACGAGAAAAATGCGGAAACCGTTGAGTTTGTGAGGAAGCCCGGAAAACTTTAACCTACTCTAGTTATTGGATAAGAAATCGAGATGAAGAAATTTTTTTGAAAAAAATTTTTCGAGACAATCCGAATTGAAATAAAAATTAAACTTTTTAATCCAAAATAACACTTGAAAACGACCCAAACTCGAAAAATGAGCAAAAAAATTCTCTTTATTGAGTGAGATTGTGAAAAAAATATAAATCTGCGTTGTAGTTTTAGTTGCTTTCGGTAGATGAAGTTACCACCGGAACGTCATATATGACGCCTTATTTTATATTTTCAGCGTAAAGTCTTTTTTTTTTTCATTAAAAAGTCTCGAGACAAGATTTCGTCTTCAAGGATATCGACAGCTTCAACTGACGTTGTTTAGACATAGTAGACCAATAAAAACATGTAAATAAATTCATTTGTTTCAAGTTTCACACACAAATAAAACACACAACTATTACAAAAAAATCCATCAAAATATTCAACATTTGAAAAAAAGTGAGCAAGATAAATCAAAGATATTTGCTAGACGTGAAGCGAGAGCCGAGCTCTTTCATCCGATCCACAGCTTCTTTCTGAGCTCCTGGCTTCAGTCCAGAGACGGCCATGTCTTTTTCACGATCAAACGGACGTCGTTCTCCGGGGGCCAGTTCCTTCTGAAAAATAAATGATTATGCAAAGAGATATCTTGTAGCGAATAATTTGGAGGAAAAAATTATGTTGTAATTGCACATGATTCGAAATCGAAAAAGTTCAGTTTACAGTTGAAATATAAATTTCTTCTGCTCTCCCTATAACTTAATCGCACAAATCTCCAACTCAAGACTTTGATAGAGCATTCTCTAGGAGAAATCGTAGTAAAAACCGGTTTTTTTTTTTTGAATATTTTTTCAAGTGATTCCTGTGCCTTTTTTGAAAAGCTTTCTCCATTATCCGAAGTGGTTTGAAGCTCATGAAGTTTTTTGAAAGACATCAAAGCGTGCATTTTTTTCATCATTTTACAGCCTTCTATACTATAATCTTTTTATATAAACACCACAAAATGCCATTAATTGAAATTATCACAAGTCTTGTGAAATTTTTCGGAAGAAAAATATGTGGAATCCAATATCTGCTTTTTTTCGCGTAACTTTTTGTGCAAGCGACGACTCTAGTGTCTGTTCCAAGAATTTTCGTCTTTTTTTCTCATTTTTAAATTTTTATGTAGTGAACGACGTTTGAGCCAACTTTCGAAGCGTTCTGAAATTGATCGTTTTTGAAATAATATTTTACCTGCTTTCCAGGATCTCGTCGATCTTTCTGATGCAGATCGAGAAGACTTGGTCCAGTTTCCTTCATTTCTTCCTCGGCTCGTTTTTTCTGCGACTTCTGATATTCCCGGTCAGCTCGTTCCGCAGCTGTTTCAGGCTTCTTCTGAAACAATAACCATGATTTGAATTTCAGCTTAAAGTTCAACTTCATCTTTAGAAGATTTTTTGCTCGCCGGACTGTCTTCCCAGGATTTATCCGTGTCCACGGCAGATCGCTGAAAAAAAAAGTTCTCGACATTTCAAATTAGATAAAATATTTTCACTTTGAAAGTTCTCGGTCCAAGGCCAATGTTTCCAAGAGTTTTCGGCACGCTTAACATCCAATCTTCTCGTTTTGGGGCTTTTGACTGAAACCGAACAAAATTTAAGGAATTATATTAAATGAATGAACCTCTTCTAATAGTTTCTTGTCTTCTGCCATTGCAAAACGTAAGTCTCGGGCAAACTTCTCCTGATCTTCCCATTCTTTGTTCATTGGCATTGGGCCCTGCGAAAATGTTATATAAAAAATCGGCTATATTTCTTTTCGGAAAAAAAAAAAATTTTTTGGCTCGAAATCGAGGTAAATCCGAAGTCTTGAAAGCTGCAAATTGAAGTTTGTGTTTTTATTTTATAGAACAGCCAAAATACTCACAAAGTCATCATCTGAGTCGTGCCCACCAGCAGATTGATTCTGGAAGGTTCATCCTCATTAAAAGAAGGAAATAAGCAAAAAATACCTGATGATTTGAGAAACCTGGTAGAGCTGGTCCATATGAATCGGCTTCTGGTTGAGGTTCGGCTGGGTTGAAGTTGGTGGGAAGAGCTGGACCAATGTATCTACCTTCCTGGAAAATTTTTGCGTCAAAGCTCGAAAAGTATAGAAAAGTATACCGAATCAGATTCCTCCTCCGGCTCACCTGGATTCGCCGAAATTGGAAGAGATGGACCGATTGACAAACTTTCAACCTGAAAATAACATCATGAAAACATAATACAGCTTTCTTGAAATTTTCGAAACAAAAAATTGAAAGTCAATTAACCGAATGTGTATCATCTTCTGGATCATCGAGATCTGCTGAATTTTGAAGTCTTGGGTCGATTGGATCTCTCTCTGTCTGAAGAATAATCAAACTTAGTTTTTAGCGAAGATTGAAGAAAATTCAGCAAAGTAAGAAAAAACCCCTACCGAATCAGATTCTTCTTCCAAATCAGCATGTTTTGCTGGAATTGGGAGACTAGGGCCAATGTACTCATCTTCCTTCTAAAAAAACATCATTTTTTCGAGCCCAATGTACTCTAAAACCTCTTCTTCTAAATCCTCAGCGCCCGGTCTTTGAAGATGAGGAGGCATCGGACCGTACACACCCATTTGTTGGTCTTCCTGTAATTATAAATGTTTCAAAAAATCAAAAAAATCTGAACAAACCTCATCCGAAGAGTATCCGCCAGCCATTTCCCTTCACAGGTTGAAAGAAGAGTTCGAACGAAGGAAAGACTTTTAGCCACGAGAAGATGGATTATTGCGATTTCTTGTCCGCCGCCGCGGAATTTAAAACGGGTTGTGCGCGGTGGAGCGGGCTTGCTTTTTTTCTCGATACTTGTCGCGTCTTAAAGTAAGAACAAATTGATGGATTGTATTAAGAAAATAATCATATTTTTTTATGAGGAAAAAAAATTTTGAATTAAAGTTGACGATGTGAAGAAACCATAACATTCGGTGATAACTGCAAAATTCGAATAAAACTGTCCAATTCGAGAATTATTTTTCATTACTTTGATATAATCTTTGTTTGAGTCTAAATCTTTCAAGTTTGATGTACGAGTTTGAGAAACCTGAGTTTCAAGTATTTAATATTGGAATTCGCGTTTTAGAAATAAAAAAACATATTTTTTTAACTTTCGAAACTTTCTCAAACTACTGCGATAGAAACTTTAACAAAGCGGAATCGCCTGAAATTTCATTCAAGAACTTTTCGGTGGTTCAATTTTTTTAACTCCAGAGATCGTAATTTATCTCTAAAGCAGATTTTTTTGATCAAGTTTACTCTATTCTACTTCATAAAAAGGACAGAACTTTTTTTTTTTGATATTGTAACTAACGATATTGTAACTTAGAATTTTTTTTATTGAGAACTCTATGGAACCATTCAAGGGTTTTGTTGGAAGTTCGGAAAAAATTTCATCGTTAATTGGGAAAAAAAAATTTTTTTGATCTGCTTGCTTTTTGTCCCAAATTAGCTGTACCATATTTGTAAAAGAGCTTCCGCTCCAAGTGTTCGCTCGAAAACACCAAAACTTATGGGGTATCGACATATCCTGTGGAAAAGTGTCATCTTCAAGCTGAGTCCTGGAAAGTTTGACTTTTCAAGTGCTGGTCTGGAGCTTTTTATCACAAAAAAGGGAATATTTTCATATCACGTGATTAGAAAAGGTTTCTGCTTGGATCGGCTGATAAAATCCTCGGACACGTTCATTTCGCACGATCTAACTGTGTATAGTTTAGTGTTAGGGCTTTGAAAATTGTTTTCCAAGACTTTTGCTCTCCAAAACGGTAGGATTCCTAATAACCGGAACGCAAAATTATAAAAATGTCCTTTTTGTCTTTTTTTTTGTTAAGCGTGTCATTTTTGAAGAACTGTTTTATAAGGGCTGTTCTGTTCAGAAATTTATAAACTTCGCAGGATTTTTTTGCGAAAAATTTTCATGCAGGTCAGAAATAAGTTGCGATCTTGCTTTTCAGTCAATCCTACAAGAAAAATTTTTTGGCGTTTTTGAAGTTAAAAAACTTTATTAAACGGTGAAATGAGAAAAAAAAAATGCCCTCTCAAATGGAATCAGAAAAAATTAAGGTACTTCCAGGTTAATTTTTGTCAAATATTCGGAAAGCCATCCGCAAAATACGCAACAAACTTCTTTCAGAAATTTTCCTATGTTGATCGAAAATAATCAGCATTTTTGGCTTTCCAGCCAAGTTGGGCTTGATATAGCAAAAGTTTACCAAAAGAAAATTTCGTCTGCATTTCTGAAGCCCGATAACTTGACTAAACGTTGAAACTAGAGAAAATGCTTTTTTAAACTGGAAACAGTCAAAGACTTCTGAGTTTTCTCACGCATTCAACACGCCAATAGGAAATTTTCCATCTCTCTGAACCCTGGATATTCGTGTCGAATGGTCGCATTCTCTACCAACGTGTTGAGGAATGTTTCGCTGAACTGCAGTTACACATATCGAGCGATACGAGGTCATTTGCGCAGGCCTTGTTTGCTTCGATGAACGCGGCTCCCTCGTTCTTTTCACAGTGCGATAGCTCTTGTGTCCTCATCGTTTTCCTTTTTCCTTCTTTTTTTTTTCCTGCGCCGGCGCTCTACGGCCACAAAAATCAATTCGAGGCGCCGACCGGCCCGTGCCCGGCACTTGTTATCACCAAATTTGCAGAGGAAAAATAAATGAAAACATGTATTGCTCATTACCGCTGACTTTATACAAATGCTCAATTTTCAACAGCTTGCAGAGCTTCTCGAAAAGCAAAGGAAGAGTTTAGAAGTGTCTTAGACTTTGAAATTGTACAGTTTTTGATAAAAGATTTCTGAAAACGCTTTCTGAGCCTCTACACCAAAGGATGAGTCTTTTTTGGAATATTGTGAAAATATTCTGAAAATACTGAAATGTTCTTCTAATTTCGAAAGTTTTTTTTGGAAAAGTTGGTTTTCTCAAAGACTTGATTTTATTCAAAGAACTGTGAATGCTTTTTGAGTCTGGCATCTTAAAAAAATTTTTTTAGATCATCTCGGAAAACTCAGAAATAAATTTTGGCTTGAAAACCTTTATTAAAAGCAAAGGCTCCTTCAAAGATTTCACCCTTTTTTTATTCTCAACTCCAACGGAGAGCGGATTGACTTTCCGAAAAGAGCAGGAAGTGACGGTCGCCAGGATGTCGAGCTCTACACAACGGAGCATCTTTCTTTGTTTCCCGTTTGCCTAGAAATTGCGAATGGAGACTGCCGCTTGCACTTGGAATGGAATCATGGCTAATTTAGGCTAGACGGGAGGAAATTGGCTCCGACCGAATATAATGAACGTTTTGTGCCACAATGAGGTGTGAAAAGAAGTCTTTGTGGGCGACGTCAGATGTGATGATAAATAATAAATTATTATTTTTTATGATGATTTCTGCTCTCCTTACAACTTTTTAGCAAAATTTTTAAAAAAAGTTGTTAGGTTTCGAAAAACCCTAACTTGTGATAAAATCTCCGTGAATCAAAAGAAATTTGTAAAATCAAGCATTCAACTTTAAATTTGGTAATATTATGACAATTGCTTAGCTAAAAAAAGCTAACAAGGGTTAAAAAGAAATTGAAACCAAAGGAAGATTTCTTTTTCCCTGATGGATCGTATTTCAATTTTTGAATTATATTAAATTATCGGTAAAAACTATTTGAATTATAAATCAATTACATTCAAAGATCTGACGTCGAACAGCCTTTTTTTATCTTTCTTATAGCTTTTTTGTCACTAAACGAGCTCAAAATCTTCTAGACGAGCCATCAAACCACCGATATTTCATCACAATTTGCAATGTACGCAAACGACGCCGACTGCCGTTTGATTTGTTCCCTTGACCTTCTCACGCGGCGATCGTCCTTCAAAAAAAGGTGAAAGAAGAAAAAAATCAAGTACTACTTCTAAATCACCGTAAAATGCATGTTTTATTAGGGGTTCAAAATGTTATCTTTCCAAAAAGATCAACAGAACGGTTTTGCTTGAATAAACTAATTATTTATTTTGATCGCCTGATCTGATACCGATAATAATTAATTTGGTTCAAAGCGCTCATTTTAGTAATTTCGTCATTCATTGAAATACAAAGAACATGGAAAACTGTTGATTCCATACAAAAACAATATATTTTTTTCAAAATATTGGAGGAGATTGAGCTATTGTTATATGAACTTCTACTCATGTGAAACAAAAACGTTATTCAAAAAAATTGAAAAATAAAGTTGCTTGGCAGAAGTTCGAGTAGAAAAGATGTTTGAAACAGCAAAACGATTGACAGCTGTCTAAAGCCACACTGCTGTGGCCAACTGTTTTAAAGTCTGTTTCGAATTTTGGAATTTCTGGTAGATTGTAGCATAAGATTGATGAAATCGGCAGGTTTTTCTTCTGATCTCCTCTATCAAAACTGAAATTTTTTTTCTCCATTTCAGTTCAAAATTCTAAAAACTTTCTGGACGTTTTTTTATTCAAATTAGAAGAACTACAGGAAATCTTCTCTATCAACTTCTACTGAAACTTTTAGTAAACTTTGAAGATGAGAAAACGTTCTTTACTTTCTCATCGAACATGAAAACATAGAGATAAAGGCCTCAAAAGTCCCTGAAACCTTGCATTTTCAGGAAACGTACTTCTAAGAAAACACTGAGCGAACTAAATGAAGCTAATCAACAAAAAATATTTTTATATTTCTCTCTGAACCAAACTCAATACGTTTCTATTCCTTCCGATAAACTGCTTTGACTTGGATTCAGATTCATCTATACTCTTTAACACCAAGACGACTGTTCTTCTAATTCAACTTTCAAGCTTGACTTGTAAGCAAACTAGTTCCAATTCAAACCAAAACACCCTTTTCAATCAACATTTATTTATTAACCGCCAGATGGAAAAACGATTATAGCATGTACAAACAAGTTTTTGGGATGATAACAAAAAATAATAAATATGAGTGTATTCGGGTAACAAGGTAAAGTCGTTTACGGGAGACGTGGAGAGAGGAAACAACGATTCGGGAATGCGGAAGAAGGTTTACTTCTTCTTTCCACCAGCAGCGCCGGCCTTCTGGGCGGCCTTGGTGACCTTGCCACCAGATCCATCGGACTTGTCGACGGACTTGATGACACCGACAGCGACGGTCTGTCGCATGTCACGGACGGCGAAGCGGCCAAGAGGAGCGTAGTCGGTGAAAGCTTCGACGCAGAGCGGCTTGGTGGGCACCAGCTCGATGATTCCGGCGTCTCCGGACTTGAGGAACTTCGGGTTGTCCTCGACCTTCTTACCAGTACGGCGATCGACCTGCAAATTCATTTTTGAATTTTCTGTCTTCTCGAGAATGCTCCGACCTTCTCCTTGAGCTCGGCGAACTTGCAAGCGATGTGAGCGGTGTGGCAATCGAGGACTGGAGTGTATCCAGCGGCGATCTGTCCAGGGTGGTTCATGACGATGACCTAAAAACTTTTCATTCTGTGTCTTGTTTTTTTTTCATTTCTTTACCTGAGCGTTGAAGGTGCGAGCCTCCTTGGCCGGGTCCTGCTTGGAGTCGGAGCAGACCGAACCACGACGGATGTCCTTGACGGAGACGTTCTTGACGTTGAAACCAACGTTGTCTCCAGGAACGGCCTCAGGCAGAGACTCGTGGTGCATTTCGACGGACTTGACTTCAGTGGTGACGTTCTGGGGAGCGAAGGTGACGACCATTCCCGGCTTGATGATACCGGTCTCAACACGTCCGACTGGGACGGTTCCGATACCTCCGATCTTGTACACGTCCTGGAGCGGGAGACGGAGCGGTCGGTCAGTTGGGCGCTGAGGAGGAATGATGGCGTCAAGAGCCTCGAGAAGGGTCTTTCCGGTGGCGTTGCCCTCCTTGCGCTCGACGGCCCATCCCTTGAACCACGGCATGTTGTCGGAAGCCTCGAGCATGTTGTCTCCGTTGAATCCGGAGATCGGGACGAAGGCGACGGCCTTGGGGTTGTATCCGATCTTCTTGATGAAGCCAGAGACTTCAGCGACGATTTCGTTGTAGCGAGACTCGGAGAATGGTGGCTCGGTGGAGTCCATCTTGTTGCAAGCGACGATGAGCTGCTTGACTCCAAGAGTCTGGGCGAGCAGAGCGTGCTCACGGGTCTGGCCGTTCTTGGAGATACCAGCCTCGAATTCACCAGTACCGCAAGCGACGACAAGCACGGCGCAATCGGCCTGAGAAGTTCCTGCAATTTATAATTGTTATCCAAGCTCTCATTTTATTTTTTCTTTCAAAGTTTGAGAAGAATTGGAAGACGAACCGGTGATCATGTTCTTGATGAAATCACGATGTCCGGGAGCATCGATGATGGTGATGTAGTACTTGGCAGTCTCGAACTTCCAGAGGGCGATATCGATAGTGATACCACGTTCACGCTCGGCCTTCAGCTTGTCAAGAACCCAAGCGTACTTGAACGAACCCTTACCCATCTGAAAAATTCCTCAAGTTATTTTCTGATACTATTTTTAGGAATGTTCATGAAATAACTAATATTATGAATGACTCACTTCCTGGGCTTCCTTCTCGAACTTCTCGATGGTACGCTTGTCGATACCTCCGCATTTGTAGATGAGATGTCCGGTGGTGGTGGACTTTCCGGAGTCGACGTGTCCGATGACGACGATGTTGACGTGGACCTTTTCTCTTCCCATGTTTAGTTCGACGGTTGAGGGCTGACGCTGAAAATTTTCTCTTTAGACAGGTATTCGAAAAATTAGGCAAGATTTCGAAATATTCAAAGGCGAGAAAAGTTTTCGTTTTTTGAGCCTGAAAAGATTTCTCAGTTCATGAAAATATCATTATAGTGATTCTATTCCTATTGGGATTTGTTGAAATGAGTTGAAGCTTGAAATTCTCCTAAAATTCTCAATCTCAAAAGATATGTCTTCAGAGACTTGGAAAAAACAGCTGTTCTGAGAGCTTTTGTTTTTTAAAGCAGAGAGGCTGTATCTAAAATGTTTTTGAAAGATAAAAGCATTTGAGATATGTTTTGGGATGACGGAGGACGAAGAAAAACGAAGGTAAAAGGTTCCAACAGGACAGAAGCGACGGATGAAAATGGAGAGAGTGGCGTGCTCAGCGGGTTTTAGGCCAACGCCGCATCCAGCGTGTACCGTACCCCGCAACGCGGCCTTCTCGCCACGAGACACGCCGATTTCCCGAGTCTCTGCGCCTTTAAATTGCCGTGCAAGGAGGCCTCTTGTTGACATAGCGACTCTTGTTCGGGGGAACGCACCCAACATTGGAATGGTTCCATATAGAAGACAATGCGAAGTATTTAAAAAAACATTTCTTGAACATATTGTTCAAAAAAATGACTTTTTTGGAAAACTTCTCAGCGGAAAACTGCGGTAAATTTAAATAGATCATATATTTTTAGAAAAGTGAGTAAAACAAAAAAATACGAAAGTATGACAAAATTAAACCTTTTTCAACTCGAAATTTAAAAAGGTCAAATCTAGCAAGTTGAGAATTACTTCAAGAACTCTGTTATCCTTGAATGCCGACGAGAAAAATTTTTCTTTCTTCTCAGAAACTCGTAAAAAAACACATTAAATCAGAAAAAAAGATCATTTAAGAAATTTTTTTAAGCAAAAAAAGTTTGTAAAACAAAATAAGAAGTATTGAAAAATTGTATCGGTCTAAGAAGAAAAAAATTGAAAATTTGTTTTTTTATAAACTTTGTTTTTCCAACCTTTTCAATTTTTTTCACTGTCCTTATTTCCATAAATAAAATTTTTTTCAGAACTCTTAGGAGCAGTTAATCAATCTTTCTGAAACCATTTAAAAGTGTGATGACTGTTATTTCTAAAGCTCTTGTGAATTTTTAGTTACTCAAAAAAACACAGCTTCATAGAGTTTCAAGAAGATCAAGTTCTACACGAGGATTTGATTAGCAAAAAAACTTTTTTTGTGATTTTTGTGACGCTACTGTTGTTTTTAAAACATTCTCACGATACAAAAATGCTTGAAAAAAAACAGGAGAATATTTTTCATAACAAAAATAATTCAAAAAAACAATATGATGACTGTAGATCAACTGGAATCTCGATTCATTTTTTTTTCTTCATATATAGTGGAAAAATTGCGCAACATTTGTTTGATTCGTGCGGTTTCAAAATCGCCATCTTCTCAACAGTCATATTGTGCAATATTTCATGATATCACTATTTTTAACAGAAAAAGAACATGTTTCGATATTACGAATCGAAACCTATCACTAGGGAGATCATTTTACTTTGAGGTTGGGAATTTCCTGTGAACTAGTCAAAAAACTTCTCAATGTACCCGAGAAAGATCTTGTAAATCTAAACCTGCAAAATTTTCAAGTTTTTGAGAAAGAACTCCTTAAAGTCGAAGAAAACCACAAAAATCCGAGAAAATAGGCCATTTTTGAGCTTTGAGCGCTTATTGTTCAAAAACTAGGAAGTTTTGCGGTTTGAGACTTTCAGAATTTTTTTTTCTGGCATATCAAAGAGTGTTCAGGCCAATTTTCAGAAAATCTTCAACCGCGAAGTACAGGTAGCCAATAAATATGGGGATGACAAAGTTTTTTACTGGAACATTTTGTATAAATGAATTAAAATCTAACTAAACTTGACACCTAATCAAAATTGGGCAAAAAAAAATTTGTGAAAATTTTTCTGGAATCCTACAGCATATGTAGGATTGACGACCTTCGAAAACTACCGAGTCGTATGCGCGTTGGCACGCGCGATTTGGTGTAGGAACCCAGTTTTATCTCTGAGAATACTGATTAGTGGAGCTTCAAACTTTTTGACAATGTAATAGAGGTAGGGACCGCAAAGCCACGCCCCTTTTCGCGATAGAAAAAGTGGCTTTTTTTTGGTTTTCAACTTTCATTTTGTTGTAGTTGTAAAATATGTGGAACTGGCGAATAAAATTTGACACACATGTACAGAAAAAGCTTCCTCTTTCGTTTAAAAAAATATTTCACGCTTTTTTTGATGCGTTCTCGCGGAATGTCGTACAAAAAAACGTGAATGGAACTAAAAAAATTTTGTCGTTTTTTTGCTTTTTTTCATGTGTTTTTTTAGGTCGAACGCACTCTTTCTTTTTTTAAATAATGATTTTTGATTCAAGTAACGGTAATTTTAAAACAATAAAATAAAAAAATTCGTCTTTGCCAAAAAAATTTTTAGGGAGCGCCGAAAGTCATAATTCAAAAATATCGTTAATAAGCGAATATAATCGAGTTTTTTTGTTTTTTTCAAAATTTAGACCATGGTCTTACTTAAATTTTTTTCTCCACAGCACCTGTGCTTGAAAAAAAGTTGTTTAATACGCAAAAAATGCTCTTGAAAACTAGAGAATAAAAATTAGCGGCGTTTATCACACAGAAAGCGGTCGAACGCAGGTTTTTTTCAAACGATTATATACATTTATTAGTAAAAAAATCTTTCAATTAAAAAGAATAAAATAAAAAAATTCGTCTTTGCCAAAAAAATTTACGGGGCCGTTTTAATGCAGCGATCGTTAAACGAGGCAAAAAAAGCACTAAAAAAACAGTTTTTTTCGAAGTGAATTTCCACGAAACGTTTGAGTAAAGATTTGCGAACATATTCTGATAAAAAAATAGCTAAATTACTTCAAGTTTTTTTATTTTTTTGAAATAGGCAATCTGTGCTATTCAAACGGCTCAAGGGTATGGCGGATGGAAGCTCCCCGCGTTGGACCTAACAGCTTGGCGCAACGCGTGCGCTCCGATTTTTACATTTTGAGGTCGCGAGTTCGATGCCCGCAAGCGCCAGTTTTTTTGTTTTTCTGGAAAAATACCGACTTTTTTTCGGCAAACTAGCTGATTAGCATCATTTCAGCACTCTATTATGATTTGTTACATCATAATAGACCAGTATCAAAAACTTGTTCTAGAAGAAAAAAATCGAGAAAAAAATGTCAAAAAAATGGAAATACCAAATTTTTCAGTACTAAAAAAACATGGTGCGCGGCGCGCCACCTTTTCCGTCATAACTTTTTTTCATCCTCAATCTTTTTTTGAAAAAAACTAAACGGTTCTGAGTTTTTGAATCGAAACAGCTATCGAACCATACAAAGCTCAATGCTGAAAAAATTTTTTTGAAAATTCGTCTGCGGTCCCTAAATAGAGGCCAGCAAAAGTTTACACGGAGTAAATTTGGATAAAAGTCAACTTAGTCCGCGTCCTCAAAAATTTAACGAAACGAGTTTAGGACCAGGTTTTTGTTATAAACTATCTTGTCTATTTTTTTCAAGTACTGAAGTACGGTTTTTTGAGAAAATAAGCTAACACAGCTTCAAGAACCTTTTTTTAAGAAATTTTTTTGGTTGGAATCCCTGTTTTTATTAAAGATTGGCAAAAACAGAATCTTTGTCCAATTGGCCACGGCGCTTTTAGCCTGGTAAATTGCACAGTTCGTTTTTTTTTTTTTTTTTGAAATACGTTTTGATGTTAGACGATAGAAAACATTGTTAAAAAGGAAACTTTGAAATTTCAGACAAATTGGTATGGGAAAACTGGAAAAAATCCACTGAAGAAAAGAAAATCCTTTAACTGCGTGCCTCACAGTACGTGTTACTCAGAGAGAGCCTTTTGTCGCCCTGCCCGCTTGTTAAATTTATGAGCCAAAAACTAGACTTTTTATTTATGTTATATAAAAAAAGTTTTTTTCTTGATCAACAAAAAAATTTGTCAGACTTGACGCTTATTTTTCCAAAAAAACTGTTTTTTTAGATGACTGACTAAAAAAATTTTTTTCTATTTTTCTTTTTAATGGCACACAAGGGCTCTAATGCAGAAATGATTTTCGGCTTGTTTTTTTTGTAGTTAAATACTATTTTCAACCAATCACACTCATTCTCAACCTTTTCCACTCTACTTCCAATCTGGATCACGGCTTCAAAACTCCCTAACAGAAATTTCGAAATCGAAATTGAAGTTCTGTAAAAAACATTGACTACTAGCAGAGCATGAATGGATATAATGAGTCAAATTTTTGCACATACATAAATGAAGATGTGTTGAACATCCTGAAAAAATTTCATTCTCCAAAACTATATTACCTCGTTACGAGCTTTGTTCAAAGTTTTTCACCCATATTTATTGGTCACCCTGTAAATGACCTTCCTTTTTAGGTTGGTGCGTGATTCATGAGAGTTTTTCTTTCAAAAAGTCTAGTTCTCTGCAAGTTTTCTATTGGCTGGTATTGCATCAAATTACGTGTTACATGTTCACCTTTCATCCACAAAAAAAACGGGGTAGATTGATCACATTTACAGTACTGGCCATAAAGGTATTTCAAAGTGGTTATTCGAGCATAACTTCTCTGAAAGTGGCTCAAATGACTTGAAACTTTGCGAAAATTTCAAATAGCTACGCAGTAACTTTTTCCCAAAAAAAGAACTTATTTGCTCGAGTCAGACCGGATTTGGGAGCAAAAAACCAAAAATCGTGAAAATCAAGATTTTTCTCTTGAGATTCGAAAAATCATATCTTCAAAGAAACTTCGTTTTCGAACCAGAAACTTTTTTCCCCAGTAAAACAAGTCTTCGGCTTTCCAAAAAACCTAATCAGCCCCTCACCAACCCGATATTAAGAGCGTAGTGACTTTTTCTTCGGAAGGCCTTTCCGTTTTAACGCCTCGTCATTCAAATGGTCTATACAAGGGCATTTTTGTTTGAGAACACCCTGTATCATGTTGAAAAAAACTTTGAAAAAAACCTTCAAAAAAATAGTTTAACACTGATTTCTTCAGCTTTCTCACTTTATCTGCTTTCCAGAACTCACTAGCTTTACTAGGACCGATTTTTGAAACCTCTGATTTGAACAGTTTTTTTGAACTTTCGGGCGTTCAAAGTAGTTTATATCTGAACAATCGCTTTTCAATCGTGAATTTGAAAATAAATATTGGCTAAATTGCAGGCTCTTAGTTCCTGAAGACTGCTAATTTTTTTGCTAAAGCATTAGTTTCACAAGATCAAAAACTTATTTTCACATAAAATTTAAAGAAACTTTATACAGTGCCTATCTTTGATTTGAGAGCTAGAAAGAGGAGTTACAAATTTATCTCATGATCTAAAACATTTTAAAATATGAAAAAAAGGGGTTTTTATCATCTTCCACAAGATTTGGAGCCCTCTAAGCAACACTTGCTGAAGCGAAGTTTTGAGAACTTTAAGAAACTCAGTAAAAACTCACTGTATCTTTTGAATAGGTAAGCAAAAACACAGTGGGTCTTCTTTTTATTTTTCATTCATCAAGGTTCTAAAAAAAGCTCTGAAATCTGAATGGAGAAATCGAGAATTTTTCTGATTTTTAAAAAGGAGCATAACCGCTTCAAATCAGAGATTTCAAAAATCGGTCCTAGTAAAGTTAGTGAGTTCTGGAGAGCAGAGAAAGTGAGAAAGCTGAAGAAATCAGTGTTGAACTATTTTTGAGGGTGTTTCAAAGTTTTTCAACATGATACAGGGTGTTCTCAAACAAAAATGCCCTTGTATAGACCATTTGAATGAGGAGGCGTCAAAACGCAAGGGCCTTCCGAAGAAAAAGTCACTACGCTCTTACTATCGGGTTGGTGAGGGGCTGATTAGGTTTTTTTGGAAAGCCGAAGACTTGTTTTACTGGGGGAAAAAAAGTTTCTGGTTCGAAAACGAAGTTTCTTTGAAGATATGATTTTTTTCGAATCTCAAGAGAAAAAAATCTTGATTTTTCACGATTTTTTTGGTTTTTTTGCTCCCAAATCCGGTCTGACTTGAGCAAATAAGTTCTTTTTTCGGGAAAAAGTTACTGCGTAGCTATTTGAAATTTTCGCAAAGTTTCAAGTCATTTGAGCCACTTTCAGAGAAGTTATGCTCGAATAACCACTTTGAAATACCTTTATGGCCAGTACTGTATAAGTACAAAAAAGCTGGTTTTCACAGCCAGACCAAATCCACACTCGCTCTGAATTATTTACCGTTCTCGTTTTGAAAACCAACACTGGCCGAGCATCAACATATCCGGGAGGCAAACTTCGGAGATATTGGCTCTTGCCATTCAGTGATTAGCTATCACAAAGACTTTGACAACAACAATTTTCCCTCGTCGAAAGTCATCCTTTGAATAAGCTGGTCGTGTTGGATTCCTATGCCCTGCGCTCCGCAAAGAAGGCGCAAAGCTATGATTTTTGCACATTCGGAGAGAGACATGTTAGTAGCAAAAACCACAGATTTTTGAAACTAAGGCTACTTGGAAGTCCTCACATTTGAGCCGATGCTAAACGTCCGAATCGGGCAATTTTCGAAAAAAGCACAGGTCAGAAGAAACCTTTGTTTTTTCTGCTTTCTCAAATGGAAACGACTTCTGTTTATTATTTTTTGTGTAAAAAGGAGTGTTCCATCTAAGTCTCATTAAAAACAAAGAAAAATTATTGCAAAAAAAGGATAAACAAACCACGACTTCAAACCGAATTTTTTTCACAAGAGAAAAGTTAGACTTCCATTTCTGGCTTCAGGTCGGCGAGGAGTAGTAGGATCTTTTGAAAGCTAGTGTTACTGTCACCAGTGACAAGCACTCTCCTCAGCTGCAGAAGCTCTGAGTTCAGATCTAATGCGAGGTCAGACCTCATAAGGCAAAAGTTACCAAGAGGAAGCTGCAGAGCTGCGGATGACTCATCGTGGCGCTGCCACCGCACAGTCCTGACATCGCTCTCTCCGATTACTACCTGTTCTTCCATCTTCAACTTCACCTGGTCGAGACGAAAATCGGGACAGAGAGCGCTGTCCAATTGGAGTTAAACTCATACAGTACTGGCCATAAATTTTTTTCAGAATGGTTTTTTGAATATAACTTCTCCTAATGTTGTTCAAATGTCTTGAAACTTTGCACACATTTGAATAGTTTCGCAATAACTTGTTTTCGCAATCAGAGTTTATTTGCTCAAACCAGACTAGAATTATGAGAAAAAAACCGAAAATCTTTCATTTTTTTGTTGAGGTTTGAAAAAAATCATATTTTACAAGTAACTCCGAGTTTCAACCTTAAACTTTTTTCCCCTTGTAAAACAAGTCTTCGGATTTCTAAAAAACCTAATTAGATTTCAACCACCCCAATATTAAGAGCGCAGTAACTTTTTCTCTGGAAGGCCCTTGCTTTTTGAGGCCTTATCATTCAAGCGGACTAAACGGGGTCGATTTGGTTTAAGGAGACTGCTTTTTATGTTTAAACGCTTTTCTCTTTTGATTATGAGAAATAAATTGGCTACTAAAATGAAAGAAGATTTGTAAACAAAACCTCGAACAAAATATCTTCACAAGGCACTCCTAATTCTTAACTGAAGGTCTTTATCGATTTTATTGCTTTACAACTTCACTTCGGTTCTTTTAAAATTTTAATTACTTCAAAATAGATGAACATTTTATTTGTTTCAATTTTTCTCCATTTGTCAACGAGAGTGTTTTTGTTAATAATTTAAGCAATTCTGAGTTTTCGAGTAATCAAAAAAAAGTTTTGCAGTTTCAAATGGTTTATTTCTCTTGAATATTCTTGAACGAGGTGGAAAAAAAGGTGGAAAATGACCAGATGAGAGAAGATTAAGAAAAAAAGATTTTTGAAGGTAAAGAAAAAGTACATAAGGACTCTGCAATAATTTTTGTAACGAAAAAGAGAGTTGAGAAAAGGCCCACGAATAAATAGTAAAGTTAATGTTATCGCCTGTAAAAAAACAATACAAAAAAAGTGAAAAACCATCTAGATTAAAAGTGTAAATCGAGGAGAAAGAAAAAAAGCTTTTGGAAATAACAATTGTAAATTGTTTGGACAGCTTTCATGGACAGAAGTTATGAAAGTAGTGTGAATAAATTGTTGCTGAAAAGGGGATCTAGGACAAAAAGAACTTAATACGCTGGACAAGATTTCAGTGGGAGGAAAAAAAACAAAAAACGCGTATGAACCATGGAGAGAACAAATAAATATGTACATTAAAATAGTAGTTGAGCGTCTCGAAAAACCGTAGATAGAGGGGAAAGAGATGAAGACGTGGACAGATTCGAACCGTTAGCTTTTCTCGATTACCAAGGGTCGTCAGAGGTAAATTCGCCGTCAGAATCGACGTCGTAGGCGCTCCGACGCGAATGACTGACCGAAACATTCTGTAACTTACGAATTTTTATTGAACAGAAATCTATTATCAGTTTAGGTTGTTAAAAAAAACCCTCATCGGGAATAAATACCTTAATCACATATTTCATATGAACCTGAATAGAAAGTAAAAAAATTCTCTTTTTCACGTCATTCAGCTTTCATTCACAGCCGTAAACCCGAATTAATCATGCGAAGACAAAAGTAGCTTTTCGTAGGTTAACGAAGAGAAGAAATTCAGTTTCTGTAAGTTTTAGTACAAGAAGATATTTGTGCAAGGTGAAAGTTGACACAATATATTTCTTAGTTGAAGTAATTTTCTTTTTTTTTACCTTTGATTTGTTGCCGTCCTTTTTCTGAACCGTTTCTGGTTCAACTAGGGTCACCGATTTCTTCTTTCTGTCCTTGGGAGATTTTTCTTCATGTTCTTTTGCTTCGACAGGCGCCTAGAAACAGAAAGATTGCTATTTTTTCATTTTCAAAATAAGACTATCAAAATCTTTGAGAGTTTGAGTTGTTTTTATCATCTTCTATACATCTCATTTGAGTTTTCTGAACGATATTTGTAATTTATTTTCGCACATTTTCAATAATAAATTTTGAATAATAATCTATTGGTCGATGTTGGAAATTGATTTGACAATCGACTCAATCTCGTTTAATTTTTGTACCTTTCTTAGGAGTCCCACTGGTACTGATAGTTACGTTCTCGTCTATTAAATTATTAGTTCCTAATAAAGATGGGTTTTTGTGCTGAACTAATTCTTAAATAAAAAAAACTCTATCAAAGTTTTCAAATGAACAATGTGAGCATAAAAAAGTATTATTGGTTGCTCATAATCAAAAATCAACTAAACAAAAAAAAATCCCGAAAGTTTGATTATTTGATTTAAATTCAGTTCAAGTCAATCGTTTGTTCTTTCTAATAGAAAAGTCGCCACATTCGTCATCAGTTTTAACTTCAAGACGTGTTTAATTTTTTGAAAGCTGCTCAGTTTTTAAACCTCTTGTTCTGGACTTTCTTTTTTGGTTTCGCCGGGACTCTTCTTTGCTTCGGCCTGCATGTTTTTCTTCTCCTTCTCAGGGTTGATCTTTTTGATCATCTCCAAGAGTTCCTCGAAGAGACTATCATTCTGAAATCAGAAAAAATTGTTTGCAGATCAATGGTTCGACTAATTTTGTTTTCTGATAAATCACAGGAAAAAGGCAAAAACTCGAAACTTGAACTCACTTGGAACCATTTTTCGAAGGTGGCATTGACCCAAGCAACTTCTTCTTCCAGAGTTGCCAAATTCGCAGAACAGACGTCGAGACGTCCTTGGAGCACCGACATCTCGCTTCGGACGTCCTCAATTTCCTTTTCTTTTTGTTGGAGTGATTCAAGCAGTTTTAAGACGTCCTTCCTATGCACGGCCATGATTGTATCTAAAAATGCAGACTTTTATGCTTATTTACTGAAATTTCTGAAAAGAATTAGCAGTGATGGGCAGTCCTGTTCCAACCTAAGGCGAACGTCCATGAGGAAAAACGAAAAGAAGGAGAAAAAGGAAGCGGATTTTCAAAAGAAAGTCACAAGGTTTAAAAGGAACTCAGCAAGGAAAAGGACAGAAGCACAAATGACGACTTTGCAGAGGGTACCGTTTGAATGGTCGATGGTGTGCCACATCCGCCGACGGACTTTTTCGCGCCAACGGTCGGAGGCGCCATTCTCAGGGGTCACCCTCTGACGAGCCTTTCAAATGTTTCGTTTTGAGTTTGATATCGCCAGAAAAAAACTTGAAACCGCGAAAAATCTTTTTTCTACAAAAATTGAAATATCCTACTTTGAGTATATTTTTTTTCATAAATCAAAAAAAAAAGAACACTTTTTTCTGAATTTTATCAAAATAACTGTTCTAATCGACCTAATTAAGTTTCAGAATTCAAAAATTTTGGCGGGAGGTTACGAATTTTGTCTCTTGCGTCTTTTGGAATGTTCTGAAACATTCATTGTTCCGTTTCCATTCAGCTCAGCTATGATTCAGAACGATGAGCAACAATAAAAAAATCACCGGAATAATGAACTGGGAGATAGAGAAAACTTGAAAAGATAGATTACTCCGAAGTTAAAATTTCTAGCTTGAATATTCCCAGTGAACGACGAGAAAATGTTCCAGATTGATCGAATTGAAAAAAAGCATAGAAAAGCTTTGAAAGGAAATGCGAAAACTTTTTGAATAGGCAGCAAAAATCGACAATAAAGAAACTTAGTGAACGCGAAAATTTTTGAGATAAAAAGATTCGGAAAACAAAAAGAGTGCAAACTAAAAAGTTTGTTATTTTTGGACTTTCAAAATGATTTTGAATATTTCCTGATTTTCTAAAGTATAAAGCAAAAAATTCACAAAAAACGGGATTCTTCAAAGTTTCAGAGAAGAAATTTTTGATTTTGGACTATTCTGTTCCAGAGAAAAATGTGAAGCAGAAAATATTCGAAACTGTGAAACAAACAAAGGAGAAGAACTACTACGTACGATTTGCGGAAAAGTCGAAAAACAGGGAAAAAGATGGAAGACGACCATCCTTCCACACAGAAACGTGACCAGTCCCGGGCAGACCGGAGAGCCCAATTCGAGCAGCCGTTCCCCACCGAGACAGCCAAAATAATGAATGAAATGGAGACACGCCCATTCTGATCACTCTCTCTGCTGACCCGACACGCCCACTACTGATCTTTGCTCTGAGACCGAAAATCAGAGGGGCTCGCTCAAGAGCGAATAATGGGATTAGAAACGAGAAAAAAACTATCAAGAAAGTGAGGAGATACTCCAAATTTGAAATGCTTCAAAACAGCCAAAAATTACCTAAAATTTATTGAAAAAAACTTTTTTTCTCGGTTTTTTTAAATTTTTATTCGAGTCCAAGATAAAAAAATTAGCTCGGTATGTTTTTTTGCAGTAGTCCACTAAATTTCAAAAAAATATCTTTTTCTGAAAAAAAATAGATTTTGAGAGCTGAGATTCAATTTTGATAAAGTCATTGAAAAGCTTAGAACAATGCAAAAAAATTGTGTCAAGAAAAAAAAAATTTCCGAAAAATGGAAATAAGTCTAGTTTTTCGATTTAAATTTTTTCAAACCAGTTCTGAAAAAAACGAAAATAAAGATCTGGACTTAAGAAACGGATTTTGCATGGTAACTTGGAAAAAAAGTGGCGTTCGTGGTATACAAAAAAAGAAATGATTTAAAACTTACTGAAGTCCAAAAAAATATTTTTTTATGTTGCTTCATCTATTTGAGATGATCGGAATCCATAAATTCGAATAGTATTATATCAAAAAAAGGACTTTCACTTCAAAAATAAAAAAAAGTGAACCCAAAACCTTTCATTTTTTTAAAAAAAGACCATCAGCAAATCGAAAAAGAAAGTCTAATAATTCAGAGATTTATCTATTCAAGTTTGAAAGCGTTCGACAGTTTGAATTGAACATAAAAAGTAGAAGAAGAAAAAAATGAATGAGAGAAAGAATATTCTCGAATAAAAAGTATTATCTCGCCGCGGAGACGCAGACGGCTAGAAAGGCTACAGATTGCGTATTTCGAAAAAAAGAGATTATTATATTTCGAATGAAGATTTTTTTCGCACACAGTTTTGTTTTCAAAATAGATTGTGAAGATATATATTTATTGATAATGAAATTTGAAACAAAATTTCTGAATTTTTGTCAAGAGAAAAAAGAATAGACAGAGAGAAAGTGAAAATAAAATTCAAATTATTTTTTTGACTTATTTCTTTTTCGCAACGATTCCAACAAAAAAATGAGTTTAGAAGCGTAATTTTGAATTTGGAAACATATCAAAGGCTAAAACATAGCTGAAATAGAGTTATAAATACACAAACTACTTTTAGATGCGCATCTGGTTCTTTTTCTCGCTCGCACGTCGCTGTTTGAGGTCATTCTTCCCAGAGGCACGCAGCCGTCTTTGGAGCCGACTGGGTCACGTTTTACAGCCATTGTAAATTAGAAGCAGCCAAAAAAGTCAGAGATACGCACTCACTTTTTTGAACAACAAAACAACGATCTTTGGACTTGCAAGAATCGAATGAAGACTACTTTTGGGTTACAGTGACTCTCTTTCATCTGTCCTACAACTAATCTGTTCTAATTCCGGGGAGAACCAAAAAAAAATCGCCATCGTGGGGGAGCCACGAAACAAAAGGATTTGGGTTTCCCCCGCAGTTTTTCAAAAATTAATCAACCTGAACTCAACAAAAGTTTGAAAATTCAAACCATTAAATATTTTTTCACTGAAAAACATATTCACAAATTGTGTGCGTTACTGAAAATTAAGTAATCATCATCACGAAAAAAAGCTTCAAAAATCATATTTTGATCAACCCGAATGTCTAACCTTTTGAGGCCTCAATATCTCTAATGAAGCTTTTTCTGACAATAAAACTCAAACCTTTTGGCACACAATTTGGGAATATGTTTTTCAGTGAAAAAGTATTTGATGGTTTGAATTTTCAAACTTTTGTTGAGTTCAGGTTGATTAAAATTTGAAAAACTGCGGGGAAACCCAAATCCTTTTGTTTCGTGGGTCCCCCACGATGGCGACTGGGTTTTCCAAGTTTTGTTGGCATTCGTAGGATGCCTTTATATATTTTCATGCTCTGAAATTAGAACAAAATGTCTGAAGGTGCGAAAAAAAAATGTCCTAGTTATTTACTACCTTCAAGTTTTTTTCAAAGCTCAAAAAAATTCTCATTTATGTACGCTTTCCTATATTATTTACTTTCAAGAAATCATCTCTTCAGTAGAATATGAAAAACAGTTTCTAAATACGGTTTGAACAATTTCAAACGTTTTTTAACTGCGATCCTAAAACGAAATCTTTTTCCTCCCTGGGGTTTTTTTGAAAATGGCCTTTTTTCAAAAATTTTTAGTTAACCTAGAATGGTATATGCCCTTTGTTATGGTAACCGTAACGGAGACAAAAAACTTTGTTTCGACCAGGTACTTCGATCTCAAAAAAGTTATGATCGAAAAACCTCGAAAGTTTCCATCCCAGGGCATACAAAATTTTCGGGTTCCAGGAGAGAATTTTTTTTGGGTGAAAAAAATTTTTTTTTGTTTTGATCTGGAAATGACCTAGTAGATGTAAAAATGCGTGCTGATCAGGATTTTGCTAGTTTTGAGCCAAAAAACAGGTCATAAAAAAGTTTATTGGGAATCTTACCCAAAATTACACGTTATTTGGATTTTTTGGGTCTTAGATGGAAAATTCGCCAAATTCATGTTTGGCTTAATAGATAGAGTATTTTTTTGTGGTTTTGATAGAGACAAGACGAAACGCCGGACCGCAACGTCATATACTGGTTTTGATTTTTTTCTGAGAAAAAAATTCTCTAATATGAGCAATAGTGAGCAAACATGAGATGTTAGATTTTTTTAAAATTTGAATAAAACTATTTTTGCACCTTGTGATAAACTTTGATCGAGACTCGTTGATTTCTCGACGAGATATAGATTTTCGAAGGTTTTTACCGTAATGCTTTGAGCCACCGTATCTCGAAAACGGCTCGAATGATGCTATTCAGTTTTTTTTTCAAAAAATCCTAAAAATTGTGTTTTACAACATATTTCATTCATAGAAAAAGTTATCATAACGCCCTTTTTTTCCCAACTCATCCTAAACCCAAATGGCGCACATCAAGTCTGCGCCTAAAAAAAGATTTTTTGAAGTTTTCGCGAAACTCGAGTTGAAGTCGTTCGGCGAGTTGGTGACATACTATTGACCCCGGTCTGTAGTTGTCTGACTATGTCCAACATACGTAAAAAGGTCAGGCGCTCCGATTAAAATAAAACTCAGCTAGGGCTTCGGGGTCCTAACCACTGAAAACCTGAGGTGAATGCAAAACTTGTCAATTTTCGACCAACTTTGATTTTTCACCTTAGGAAGAACAATTCAGATCGGAAAGCTTTCAACACAAAAAAAACTCAAAAAGGTCTCTTCTTGCTTTTGTAACGCTTTCCAGCTGATTTCTTACACTGGGAAGAAAGTTGGCTTTAAGGGTAATTTTTTCACCATAAGCCTGAAAGTGGGCGGAGCCTCATGGAACCATGTCTCATCTAATCAGAGTACGTGTAAGTAGCTCTGGTACAAATATGGAGTCAAAAGAAGCTAATTGAAATCTTTGTACCAACTGAATTTTCATTTGATTGATTCTCTCGGAGAAGGCGTGTCATATAATTTGCAATAACTTGTTTTTGCAAGCAGAGCTTATTTGCTCGAGCCAGACTACGATTATGAGCAAAAAACTGAAAATCGAAAAAATGAAAAATTTTCCGTTGAGGTTTCAAAAATCATATTTCTCAAGTGACTCCGAGTTCCTTGAACTTTTTTCCCCTTGTAAAAAAAAAGTCTTCGGTTTTCCAGAAAACCTAATTAGATTTCAACCACCCCACTATTAAGAGCGCAGTAACTTTTTCTCTGGAAGGCCCTCGCTTTTTGAGGCCTTATCCTTCAAGCGGACTAAAAGGGGTCGATTTGGTTTGAAGAGACTGCTTTTTATGTTTAAACGCTTTCAAACATCTTCAAAAATATCTTAACAATGCTTTCTTCAGCTTTTCCACTTTATTCGTTTTCTCATCGTTTTAGTCGATTTTAAACCTTCATTTTCTTAGCCCATAGTTGAGTTGTAGAAATTTGACAGGGTATGAGAATACTCGACGCGATTATCAGGTTTTTGAACATTTTTTCAAACACAGTAGTTCCATTTGATGATCGATTGCACCCCAGGTTTTCTCTTTTGATTATGAAAAATAAATTGGCTACTAAAATGAAAAAAGATTTGTAAACAAAACCTCGAACAAAATATCTTCACAAGGCACTCCTAATTCTTAACTGAAGGTCTTTATCGATTTTATTGCTTTACAACTTCACTTCGGTTCTTTTGAAATTTTAATTGCTTCAAAATAGATGAACATTTTATTTGTTTCAATTTTTCTCCATTTGTCAACGTGAGTGTTTTTTTTATTATTTGAGCAGTTCTGAGTTTTGAAGTAACCAGTAAACAGTTTTGCAAATTTAAATGGTTTATTACTCTTGAATATTCTTGAACGAGGTGGAAAAAAAGGTGGAAAATGACCAGATGAGAGAAGATTAAGAAAAAGATTTTGAAGGTAAAGAAAAAGTACATAAGGACTCTGCAATAATTTTTGTAACGAAAAAGAGAGTTGAGCAAAGGCCCACGAATAAATAGTAAAGTTAATGTTATCGCCTGTAAAAAAATCAATACAAAAAAAGTGAAAAACCATCTAGATTAAAAGTGTAAATCGAGGAGAAAGAAAAAAAGCTTTTGGAAATAACAATTGTAAATTGTTTGGACAGCTTTCATGGACAGAAGTTATGAAAGTAGTGTGAATAAATTGTTGCTGGAAAGGGGATCAAAGACAGGAAAAAAGTATTACGCTGGACAAGATTTCAGTGGGAGGAGAAAAAACAAAAAACGCGTATGAACCATGGAGAGAACAAATAAATATGTACATTAAAATAGTAGTTGAGCGTCTCGAAAAACCGTAGATAGAGGGGAAAGAGATGACGACGTGGACAGATTCGAACCGTTAGCTTTTCTCGATTACCAAGGGTCGTCAGAGGTAAATTCGCCGTCAGAATCGACGTCGTAGGCGCTCCGACGCGAATGACTGACCGAAACATTCTGTAACTTACGAATTTTTTTATTGAACAGAAATCTATTATCAGTTTAGGTTGTTAAAAAAACCCTCATCGGGAATAAATACCTTAATCACATATTTCATATGAACCTGAATAGAAAGTAAAAAAATTCTCTTTTTTTCACGTCATTCAGCTTTCATTCACAGCCGTAAACCCGAATTAATCATGCGAAGACAAAAGTAGCTTTTCGTAGGTTAACGAAGAGAAGAAATTCAGTTTCTGTAAGTTTTAGTACAAGAAGATATTTGTGCAAGGTGAAAGTTGACACAATATTACTTAGTTAAAGTAATTTTTCTTTTTTTACCTTTGATTTGTTGCCGTCCTTTTTCTGAACCGTTTCTGGTTCAACTAGGGTCACCGATTTCTTCTTTCTGTCCTTGGGAGATTTTTCTTCATGTTCTTTTGCTTCGACAGGCGCCTAGAAACAGAAAGATTGCTATTTTTTTCATTTTTCAAAAATAAGACTATCAAAATCTTTTGAGAGTATGAGTTGTTTTTTTATCATCTTCCACACATCTCATTTGAATTTTCTGAACGATATTTGTAATTTATTTTTCGCACATTTTCAATAATAAATTTTTGAATAATAATCTATTGGTCGATGTTGGAATTGATTTGACAATCGACTCAATCTCGTTTAATTTTTGTACCTTTCTTAGGAGTCCCACTGGTACTGATAGTTACGTTCTCGTCTATTAAATTATTAGTTCCTGATAAAGATGGGTTTTTGTGCTGAACTAATTCTTAAATAAAAAAAACTCTATCAAAGTTTTCAAATGAACAATGTGAGCATAAAAAAGTATTATTAGTTGCTCATAATCAAAAATCAACTAAACAAAAAAAAATCCCGAAAGTTTGATTATTTGATTAAAATTCAGTTCAAGTCAATCGTTTGTTCTTTCTAATAGAAAAGTCGCCACATTCGTCATCAGTTTTAACTTCAAGACGTGTTTAATTTTTTGAAAGCTGCTCAGTTTTCAAACCTCTTGTTCTGAAACTTTGAAGAATCTGTCCTTTTTGGTTTCGCCGGGACTATTCTTTGCTTCGGCCGGCATGTTTCCCTCTTCCTTCTCAGGGTTGATCTTTTTGATCATCTCCAGGAGTTCCTCGAAGAGACTATCATTCTGAAATCAGAGAAAATTGTTTGCAGATCAATGGTTCGACTAATTTTGTTTTCTGATAAATCACAGGAAAAAGGAAAAAACTCTAAACTTGAACTCACTTGGAACCATTTTTCGAAGGTGGCATTGACCCAAGCAACTTCTTCTTCCAGAGTTGCCAAATTCGCAGAACAGACGTCGAGACGTCCTTGGAGCACCGACATCTCGCTTCGGACGTTTTCCATTTCCTTTTCTTTTTGTTGGAGTGATTCAAGCAGTTTTAAGACGTCCTTCCTATGCACGGCCATGATTGTATCTGAATATGCAGACTTTTAATGCTTATTTACTGAAATTTCTGAAAAAGAATTAGCAGTGATGGGCAGTCCTGCTCCAACCTAAGGCGAACGTCCATGAGTAAAAAAACGAAAAAAAAAGGAGAAAAAAAGGAAGCGGATTTTTCAAAAAGAAAGTCACAAGGTTTAAAAAGGAACTCAGCAAGGAAAAAGGACAGAAGCACAAATGACGACTTTGCAGAGGGTACCGTTTGAATGGTCGATGGTGTGCCACATCCGCCGACGGACTTTTTTTCGCGCCAACGGTCGGAGGCGCCATTCTCAGAGGTCACCCTCTGACAAGCCTTTCAAATGTTTCGTTTTGAGTTTGATATCGCCAGAAAAAAACTTGAAACCGCGAAAAAAATCTTTTTTTCTACAAAAAAATTGAAATATCCTACTTTGAGTATATTTTTTTCATAAATCAAAAAAAGAACACTTTTTTTCTGAATTTTATCAAAATAACTGTTCTAATCGACCTAATTAAGTTTCAGAATTCAAAAATTTTGGCGCGAGGTTACGAATTTTGTCTCTTGCGTCTTTTGGAATGTTCTGAAACATTCACTGTTCCGTTTCCATTCGGCTCAGCTATGATTCAGAACGATGACAACAATAAAAAAATCACCGGAATAATGAACTGGGAGATAGAGAAAACTCGAAAAGATAAATTACTCCGAAGTTAAAATTTCTAGCTTGAATATTCCCAGTGAACAACGAGAAAAAGTTCCAGATTGATCGAATTGAAAAAAAGCATAGAAAAACTTTGAAAGTAAATGCGAAAACTTTTTGACTAGGCAGCGAAAATCGACAATAAAGAAATTTAGTGAACGCGAAAATTTTTGAGATAAGAAGATTCGGAAAACAGAAATGAATGGGCCAAATGAAAAATTGTCATTTTTTGAGTTCCGAAATTATTTAGAAATTTTTCCTGATTTTTTGAAGTTCAAAACAAGGAAGAGCACAAAAAACGGAATTTTTCAAAGTTTCAGAGAAGGAATTTTGATTTTGGATTATGCTGTTCCAGAGAAAAAAAAGAAGCAGAAAATATTCGAAACAAACCAAAGAGAAGAACTACTACGTACGATTTGCGAAACAGTCGAAAAACAGGGAAAAAGATGGAAGACGACCATCCTTCCACACAGAAACGTGACCAGTCCCGGGCAGACCGGAGAGCCCAATTCGAGCAGCCGTTCCCCACCGAGACAGCCAAAATAATGAATGAAATGGAGACACGCCCATTCTGATCACTCTCTCTGCTGACCCGACACGCCCACTACTGATCTTTGCTCGGAGACCAAAAATCAGAGGGGCTCGCTCAAGAGGGAATAATGGGATTAGAAACGAGAAAAGAAACTATCAAGAAGTGAGGAGATACTCCGATTTCAAAATGCTTCAGAACAATGCAAAAAACTGTGTCAAGAAAAAAAAAAGATTCAAATAAAATTAGAGATAAGTTTTTTTTCATAAAAGAGAATCCCGTTCAGTTTTCCGATTCATATTATTGCAGAAGATTCTCGGAAAGAACAGAATCAAAGATCCGAATTAAAGAACAAATTCTGCATGGTAACTTGGAAAAAAGTGGCGCTAGTTAATAACTTAAGGTAATAACAAAAAGAAATGAACTCAAATTTGCTGAAGTCCGAAAAAAATATTTTTATGGTTATTTCATCTATTTGAGAGATGGGAATCCAGAGATTCGAATTGTAATATTTTGAAAAGTAGGACTTTCACACAAATAATAAAAAAAGTGAACTTAAACCTTTCATTTTTCTTACAAAAAAGACCATCAGCAAATCGAAAAGAAAGTCTAATAATTCAGAGGTTTATCGATTCAAGTTTAAAAGGGTTTGATAATTCGAATTGAACATAGAATGGGAGAGAAGGAAAAAAAGAGTGAATATTCTAAAAAAAAGAGATAAAAAGAGTTCTCTTGCCGCGGAGACGCAGACGGCTATAAAGGCTACAGTTACGTATGCGTAATTCTGATTTAGGAAATCTTACTAAAACCAAAAAATAGCTGAAATAGAATTATAAACACACAAACTACTTTTAGATGCGCATTTGGTTTTTTTTCTCGTTCGCACATCGCAGTTTGAGGTCATTCTTTCCAGAGGCACGCAGCCGTCTTTGGAGCCGACTGGGTCACGATTTACAGCCATTGTAAATTAGAAGCAGCCAAAAAAGTCAGAGATACGCACTCACCTTTTTGAACAACAGAACAACGATCTTTGGACTTGCCAGAATCGAATGAAGACTACTTTTGGGTTACAGTGACTCTCTTTCAGAAGTTATCTGAAAGTTTCGAGGTCGTTTATTGGAAATTAAGAGGAGATCTGATGAATGAAAGTAGTCGCGTTACTCTCAGGGTACTCTTACTGTCAAAAAAGGTTGATGGAATGAGAAAAAAAAACTCTGGTTATTCAGGAATTGAAAAATAGAATCATTTGATTCGAAAATTAAAAAAAAAAAGTAAAAAATATCCGTTTTCGAAACGTCTTCTCCTAACTTTTTCCTGGTTTTTTTAGAAGGTGATTGAAAAAAATCACAGGACGTTCAATTCTATTTTTGTTATTTTTTTCCTGTAGACTTTGAGTGTTAGTAAATCAGCTTACTTCGACAGTTTTGCCTTTTGAGTGCTGCAAAAATTTCTTCACTGTACAGATTTTTTTAATTTTTTTAAAAATATCATAACTATTTGAAGATCTCAAGTGCAATTTTTCAGAATATCGTTTTCATTTGCACTACAAAACTCGACGGATTCCGCCTTATTCTGGGTTTTCAAAATTCTTGTTTTTTATTTCCAATGGTACACCTTTTGCTGGTCTTGTTCGCAGTAATTTTAACAAAAAATTAATATAGAGAGCGTAATTCTGAATTAAGAAATCTTACAAAGACCAAAACTTAGCTAAAAGAGAATTATAAACACACAAACTACTCTTAGACTTGCGTTTGGTTTTTGTTCTCGCTCGCACATCGCAGTTTGAGGTCATTGTTCCCAGAGGCACGCAGCCGTTTTTGGAGCCGACTGGGTCACGTTTTACAGCCGTTGTAAATTAGAAGCAGCCAAAAAAGTCAGAGATACGCACTCACTTTTTTGAACAACAAAACAACGATCTTTGGACTTGCAAGAATCGAATGAAGACTACTTTTGGGTTACAGTGACTCTCTTTCAGAAGTTATCTGAAAGTTTCGAGATCGTTTATTGGAAAGTGAGAAGAGATCTGATGAACGAGAGAAGTTTTGTTATCCTTGGGTTTACTGTCAGAGAAGGGTTTTTGATTTTTTGAGAAAAAGATTTTTGAGAAAAAAAAACTCTGGTCATCCAGGTATTGAAAAATAGATTTATCTGGCAACGGCCTTTTTTTCGTTGAAAGTCTTGTGAATAAGCTGGTCGTGTTGGATTTATATGCCCTGCACTCCTCAATGAAGGCACAGAGCTTTAATTTTTTGCCCCTTCGAAGAGAGACACGGTAGTAGCCAATATTATATGTACAATTGTCAACAAGAAAATTTCTCCGTGGACAGAGGCAGGAAGCTGTGAAGGCAGATGAAATATACCTCAAATGATGTTAGCCGTTTTTTTCAGGAAAAATGAGAATGGAAGGAAAGAAAAAACTATCTAGGAATATTCACCAACCTAATAGAAGAAACATGGAAAAGATCCATATTTCGATTTTTCTTCACATTCAGTTCATTATGCCGGTGTTTTTTCATTTCTAGAATTATCATTTTTGTAACCTTTTTTTCAATTAAGGAGTTCACTTCAGAAGACTGTTGGACACAAATAAGAAAACCAGAAAAGTTTCCTGTCATAATTTCTCAGCTCAGGGTGGGACAAGGTAAGCTTCTCTAAAAACATTTCGCCATGCTGAATTAATTTATTGGCTCAAAACTCTAAAAAGCATCATTTTTTTTAAACAAAAACAAGAAATGCATAATGAAAATCTTTATTTCTCTCCAAAAAAAAGGAGAATCTTGTCCAGCTTCAATTCACAAGCAAGTTCTTCTGAAGCCATTGTCGAACTAAAAACCCTATTAAAGTCTCACAAAATGTATTTTTCAGAACTCACCGACATTGTGCAAATTAGGCCAGTGTCACAGTAGGGCCCGAATAAACCGCAGCGTTCGTTTTTTTGAGCACAAAAAATCGCACAAGCATCACAAGTTGTCATAGTTATCATGACAAGAAGAAGGAGCTGAGAAAAAATAATTGAGCGGAATTGGAAAAGTTGCCTCACCTTGAAAATCATTGCTCGAAAAGATAAGAATTCCAGAATATTCCCAACTGTATCGTAAGGTTTTATATAGTAGTCGATGTATGAAATTCCCATCGTTTCGTCAACAAAAGAATTGAATCATGAGAGCGGAGGCGTGTTCGAAAATCATGAAATATGATGGAAAGAAGAAAATAAATATCCGTATCAACCGCAGTACTTTGAACCATTCCAAGTGCCGTTTTTTTGATCATACGATTTATCAATTGGTTTTGATTCAAGAAAAGGAAGTTTTTGCTTCAAAGATAAGATTACTTATAACAAGAAAAAGCTTTGTAGAAAATATTAATAAAAATGGCCCTTTTTTTCTGAAGACTCCTCAAAAGATACCTTTTGAAAAAGCTCTACAAGCTGCTACCAGTTTGAAGAAATCCTAGGTGGACCATCATCTCGAAAAAAATCGCCCCGGAGGCGCGCAATCGTGGTCTTTGCGGCTGCCAAATGGGTGAAGTCCATGACGCCTGACGGCTCATTCTTGATAGATCCATCCCAAACTTTGTTTCCATTTCACAAATAGATATATTATTGATATTTACTGCAACATGAGATAATTTCAGGAAGAGAATCGCCTCGAAATCTTATTTTGAACCCAAATTTGGCCTGAAAATGATCATTTGATTGATTCTCTCGAAGAACGCTTATTAAATACTTTTGCAATAACTTGTTTTTGCAAGCAGAGCTTATTTGCTCGAGCCAGACTACGATTATGAGCAAAAAACTGAAAATCGAAAAAATGGAAAATTTTCCGTTGAGGTTTCAAAAATCATATTTCTCAAGTAACTCCGAGTTTCAACCTTAAAATTTTTCCCCTTGTAAAACAAGTCTTCGGTTTTCCAGAAAACCTAATTAGATTTCAACCACCCCACTATTAAGAGCGCAGTAACTTTTTCTCTGGAAGGCCCTCGCTTTTTGAGGCCTTATCCTTCAAGCGGACTAAACGGTCTAGATTTGATTTGAGGAGACTGCTTTTTATGTTTAAACGCTTCAAACATCTTCAACAATATCTTAACAATGCTTTCTTCAGCTTTTCCACTTTATTCGTTCTCTCATCGTTTTGGTCGATCTTAAACCTTCATTTTCTTGGCTCATAGCTGAGTTGTAGAAATTTGACAGGGTATGAGAATACTGTAGCTCGACGGGATTATCAGGTTTTTGAACATTTTTTCAAAAACAGTAGTTCCATTTGTCAATCGATTGCACCCCAGGTTTTCTCTTGATAATGAGAAATGAACTGGCTACTGAAATAATATAAGATTTGTAAACAAAACCTCAAACAAACTCCACAAGGCACTCCTAATTCTTGACTGAATTCTTGACGTCTTTATCGATTTTATTGCAACTTTATTTCGGTTCTTTTGAAATTTTAATTGCTTCAAAATTGATGAACATTTTATTTGTATCAATTTTTTTCCATTTGTCAACGAGAGTGTTTTTGTTAATAATTTGAGCAATTCTGAGTTTTCGAGTAATCAAAAAACAGTTTTGCAGTTTCAAAAGGTTTATTTTTCTTGAATATTCTTGAACGAGGTGGGAAAAAAGGTAAAAAATGGCCAGATGAAAGATGATTAAGAAAGAGATTTTGAAGGTAAACAAAAAGTACATAAGGACTCTGCAATAATTTTTGTAACAAAAAAGAGAACTGAGAAAAGGCCCACGAATAAATAGTGAAGTTAATGTTATCGCCTGTAAAAAAAACAAAACAAAAAAAGTGAAAAACCATCTAGATTAAAAGTGTAAATCGAGGAGAAAGAAAAAAAGCTTTTGGAAATAACAATTGTAAATTGTTTGGACAGCTTTCATGGACAGAAGGTATGAAAGTAGTGTGAATAAATTGTTGCTGAAAAGGGGATCTAGGACAAAAAGAACTTAATACGCTGGACAAGATTTCAGTGGGAGGAAAAAAAACAAGAAACGCGTAAGAATCATGGAGATCAAATAGAATATATACATTAAAACAATAAGAAGATGAGTAGTAGAGCGTCTCGAGAAGACCGTAGATGGAGACGTGCACAGATCCGAACCGGTGGCTTTTCTCGATTACCAAGGGTCGGCAGAGGTAAATTCGCCGTCAGAATCGACGTCGTAGGCGCTCCGACGCGAATGACTGACCGAAACATTCTGTAACTTACGAATTTTTATTGAACAGAAATCTATTATCAGTTTAGGTTGTTAAAAAAAACCCTCATCGGGAATAAATACCTTAATCACATATTTCATATGAACCTGAATAGAAAGTAAAAAAATTCTCTTTTTTTCACGTCATTCAGCTTTCATTCACAGCCGTAAACCCGAATTAATCATGCGAAGACAAAAGTAGCTTTTCGTAGGTTAACGAAGAGAAGAAATTCAGTTTCTGTAAGTTTTAGTACAAGAAGATATTTGTGCAAGGTGAAAGTTGACACAATATTACTTAGTTAAAAGTAATTTTTCTTTTTTTACCTTTGATTTGTTGCCGTCCTTTTTTTCTGAACCGTTTCTGGTTCAACTAGGGTCACCGATTTCTTCTTTCTGTCCTTGGGAGATTTTTCTTCATGTTCTTTTGCTTCGACAGGCGCCTAGAAACAGAAAGATTGCTATTTTTTCATTTTTCAAAATGAGACTATCAAAATCTTTGAGAGTTTGAGTTGTTTTTTTATCATCTTCTACACATCTCATTTGAATTTTTCTGAACGATATTTGTAATTTATTTTTCGCACATTTTTCAATAATAAATTTTTGAATAATAATCTATTGGTCGATGTTGGAATTGATTTGACAATCGACTCAATCTCGTTTAATTTTTTTGTACCTTTCTTAGGAGTCCCACTGGTACTGATAGTTACGTTCTCGTCTATTAAATTATTAGTTCCTAATAAAGATGGGTTTTTTTGTGCTGAACTAATTCTTAAATAAAAAAAACTCTATCAAAGTTTTCAAATGAACAATGTGAGCATAAGAAAGTATTATTGGTTGCTAATAATCAAAAATCAAATGAACAGAAAAAAATCCCGAAAGTTTGATTATTTGATTCAAATTTCAGTTCAAGTCAATCGTTTGTTCTTTCTAATAGAAAAGTCGCCACATTCGTCATCAGTTTTAACTTCAAGACGTGTTTAATTTTTTGAAAGCTGCTCAGTTTTCAAACCTCTTGTTCTGAAACTTTGAAGAATCTGTCCTTTTTGGTTTCGCCGGGACTATTCTTTGCTTCGGCCGGCATGTTTCCCTCTTCCTTCTCAGGGTTGATCTTTTTTGATCATCTCCAGGAGTTCCTCGAAGAGACTATCATTCTGAAATCAGAGAAAATTGTTTGCAGATCAATGGTTCGACTAATTTTGTTTTCTGATAAATCACAGGAAAAAGGAAAAAACTCTAAACTTGAACTCACTTGGAACCATTTTTCGAAGGTGGCATTGACCCAAGCAACTTCTTCTTCCAGAGTTGCCAAATTCGCAGAACAGACGTCGAGACGTCCTTGGAGCACCGACATCTCGCTTCGGACGTTTTCCATTTCCTTTTCTTTTTGTTGGAGTGATTCAAGCAGTTTTAAGACGTCCTTCCTATGCACGGCCATGATTGTATCTGAATATGCAGACTTTAATGCTTATTTACTGAAATTTCTGAAAAGAATTAGCAGTGATGGGCAGTCCTGCTCCAACCTAAGGCGAACGTCCATGAGTAAAAACGAAAAAAAGGAGAAAAAGGAAGCGGATTTTCAAAAGAAAGTCACAAGGTTTAAAAGGAACTCAGCAAGGAAAAGGACAGAAGCACAAATGACGACTTTGCAGAGGGTACCGTTTGAATGGTCGATGGTGTGCCACATCCGCCGACGGACTTTTTCGCGCCAACGGTCGGAGGCGCCATTCTCAGAGGTCACCCTCTGACGAGCCTTTCAAATGTTTCGTTTTGAGTTTGATATCGCCAGAAAAAAACTTGAAACCGCGAAAAATCTTTTTTTCTACACAAAAATTGAAATATCCTACTTTGAGTATTTTTTTCATAAATCAAAAAAAAAGAACAATTTTTCCTGAATTTCATCAAAATAACTGTTCTACTCGACCTAATTACGTTTCAGAATTCAAAAATTTTGGCGCGAGGTTTCGAATTTTGGCGCGAGGTTTCGAATTTTGTCTCTTGCGTCTTTTGGAATGTTCTGAAACATTCATTGTTCCGTTTCCATTCGGCTCAGCTATGATTCAGAGCGATGGCAACAATAAAAAAAATCACCGGAATAATGAACTGGGAGATAGAGAAAACTCGAAAAGATAGATAACTCCGAAGTTCAAACTTCTAGCTTGAATTTTCCCAGCGAACGACGAGAAAAAGTTCCAGATTGATCGAATTGAAAAAAAGCATAGAAAAGCTTTGAAAGGAAATGCAAAAATTTTTCCAATAGGCAGCAAAAATCGACAATGAAGAAACTTCGAAGACTCAAAAATTTTCGAGAAGAAAGATTCGAAAAAAATGAATGGGCAAAATGAAAAATTGTCTTTTTTTGAGTTCCGAAATCATTTAGAACTTTTTTCTGTTTTTTTGAAGTTTAATACAAAGAAGAGCACAAAAAACGGAATTCTTCAAAGTTTCAGAGAAGAAATTTTTGATTTTGGACTATTCTGTTCAGAGAAAAATGTGAAGCAGAAAATATTCGAAACTGTGAAACAAACAAAGGAGAAGAACTACTACGTACGAATTGCGAAACGGTCGAAAAACAGGGAAAAAGATGGAAGACGACCATCCTTTCACACAGAAACGTGACCAGTCCCGGGCAGACCGGAGAGCCCAATTCGAGCAGCCGTTCCCCACCGAGACAGCCAAAATAATGAATGAAATGGAGACACGCCCATTCTGATCACTCTCTCTGCTGACCCGACACGCCCACTACTGATCTTTGCTCGGAGACCGAAAATCAGAGGGGCTCGCTCAAGAGCGAATAATGGGATTAGAAACGAGAAAAAAACTATCAAGAAAGTGAGGAGATACTCCAATTTCGAAATGCTTCGAAACAATGCAAAGAAAACTGTGTCAAGAGAAAAAGATTCAAATGAAAATTAGAGATACGTTTTTTTCATAAATGAGAATCCCGTTTCGTTTTCCGATTCATACTTTTGCAGAAGATTTTCGAAAAGAACAGAATCAAAGATCCGAATTAAAGAACAAATTCTGCATGGTAACTTGGAAAAAAAGTGGCGCTAGTTAATAACTTAAGGTAATAACAAAAAGAAATGAACTCAAATTTGCTGAAGTCCGAAAAAAATATTTTATGGTTATTTCATCTATTTGAGAGATGGGAATCCAGAGATTCGAATTGTAATATTTTTGAAAAAGTAGGACTTTCACTCAAAAAAATAAATAAGTGAACTTTAAACCTTTCATTTTTTTCTTACAAAAAAAGACCATCGGCAAATCGAAAAAGAAAGTCTAATAATTCAGAGGTTTATCGATTCAAGTTTAAAAAGGGTTTGATAATTTCTGAATTGAACATAGAATGGGAGAGAAAGGAAAAAAAGAGTGAATATTCTAAAAAAGAGATAAAAAAAGAGTTCTCTTGCCGCGGAGACGCAGACGGCTATAAAGGCTACAGTTACGTATGCGTAATTCTGATTTAGGAAATCTTACTAAAACCAAAAAATAGCTGAAATAGAATTATAAACACACAAACTACTTTTAGATGCGCATTTGGTTTTTTTTCTCGTTCGCACATCGCAGTTTGAGGTCATTCTTTCCAGAGGCACGCAGCCGTCTTTGGAGCCGACTGGGTCACGATTTACAGCCATTGTAAATTAGAAGCAGCCAAAAAAGTCAGAGATACGCACTCACCTTTTTGAACAACAGAACAACGATCTTTGGACTTGCCAGAATCGAATGAAGACTACTTTTGGGTTACAGTGACTCTCTTTCAGAAGTTATCTGAAAGTTGCGAGGACGTTTATTGGAAAGTGAAAAGAGATCTGACGAATGAAAGTAGTCGCGTTACTCTCAGGTTAACTGTCAAAGAAGGTTTTTCGATGAGAAAAAAACTCTGGTTATCCAGGTATTCAAAAAAAATAGATTTGTCTGATTTAAAAAAAATAAAAAAACTTAGGAAATGGCGTTTTTTTGTCGAAAGTCTTTTGAATAAGCTGGTCGTGTTGGATTTCTATTCCCTGCACTCCTCAATGAAGGCACAGAGCTTTCATTTTTTGCACATTCGAAGAGAGTCACGGTAGTAGCCAATATTACAATTGTCAACAAGAAAACTTCTCCAATCTTCAAGAATCGCCCCCCACCCAACTTTGGAATAAGCATGGCAAGCCTTTTACGGATCAGCCCCCCACATTACAGAATAACCCCCACTTCATTGAAGAATAGCCCCCCACACCGTTCTTGAATCGCCCCCCACCACAGAAAAAAACAACCAGATCAACGAAAACTAAAAAAATAATTAGAAAAATAATAAAATTAATATAGGTCATATTTTAGTAATAACTACATGAAAATGGATGAAATGAACAAATAAAACAGGAAAAGATTAAAATTTGATTGAAAAACGAAAATTCTTAAATTAAAATATGAAAATCTGATCAAAAACGCGGCCTCCCTTCAAATCGTTTCGAGACCCATTAGCAAATAATTTCACCTACTGGTGGGGGGCTATTTCCTACACTTGTGGGGGGCCATTCTGGAATAATCCCAATATCTCCACAAGGCACTCCTAATTCTTGACTGAAGGTCTTTATCGATTTTATTGCAGCTTTATTTCGGTTCTTTTGAAATTTTAATTGCTTCAAAATAGCTGTTAATTTTTTTGTATCAATTTTTTTCCATTTGTCAACGAGAGTGTTTTTGTTAATGATTTGAGCAATTCTGAGTTTTCGAGTAATCAAAAAACAGTTTTGCAGTTTCAAATGGTTTATTTCTCTTGAATATTCTTGAACGAGGTGGAGAAAAAATATGGAAAATGGCCAGATGAGAGAAGATTAAGAAAGAGATTTTGGAGGTAAAGAAAAAGTCAATAAGGACTCTGCAATAATTTTTGTAACGAAAAAGAGAACTGAGCAAAGGCCCACGAATAAATAGTGAAGTTAATGTTATCGCCTGTAGAGAAAACAAAACAAAAAAAAGAGGAAAACCATCTAGATTGAATGTGTGATTCGGGGAGAAAGAAAAAAAGCTCTTGGAAATAACAATTGTGAGTTGTTTGGACAGCTTTCATGTCAGAATTTATAAAAGGAGTGCAAAAAAATTGTTGCTGAAAAGGGGATCAAAGACAGGAAGCAAGTATTACGCTTGACAAAATTTCAGTGGGAGGAGAAAAAACAAGAAACGCGTATGAACCATGGAGAGAACAAGTAAAATATACACATTAAAACATTAAGAAGATGAGTGGTTGAGCGTCTCGAGAAGACCGTAGATGGAGACGTGCACAGATCCGAACCGGTAGCTTTTCTCGATTACCAAGGGTCGTCAGCCGCTTTTTCGCCGTCAGCATCAATGTTGTATTCGGTCCAACCCGATTTGCGGCTCGAGCCATTCTGTAACTCGGGAATTTTAATTGGATAGCAATCTATTATCAGTTCAGCTTGTTTTGAAAAATCCGAAAACCGTTTGAAATGTCATTTTCGGAAGAAGTAATAGTGAACAAAGAAAATTATTTTAGGTTACATCTGAAAACCCGAAGGAATTTTGCCGAGACAAGAAATGATCTCTGAACTCGTAAGTTAATAAAGGCAAAAAGTTTTTTTGTTAGTTTTAGAACAAAGAGTTTTTTTTATGGGAAGAACGTTGACACAATATTTCTCTATTAAAATAAATTTCTTTTTTTACCTCTGATTTAGTGCCGTCCGTTTTTTGCCCTCCTTCTGGTTCAACTTGAGTCGACGAATTTTTCTTCCCGTCCATAGGAGATTTTTCTTTCGCTTCGACGGGCGCCTAGAAACAGAAAGTTTGATGGATCTTCATTTTCAAAGTTAGGCTAACGAGGTCTCCGACAGTTTAAGTTATTCTTATCAAGTGGGAATCTTCTACACATCTCATTTGGATTTTCTGAACGATGTTTGTCATTTTCTTTTTTTTGATCAATGTTCGAACATTCAATGATCATTTCATTCACGTTTAATTTTTTTGTACCTTCCCAGTCTGATGAGGCTTCTGTTCACGCTTCTTAGTAGTCACACTGGTACTTCTAGTCCTGTTCTCGGCTTTCTTCTCTTCGACATTTTTGCCCCGACTCTTGCTACGACGCTCCACATTTCTCTGCTTGACATTGCCCGCCAGACTCTGTAAACAAAAATTTCAAAAAAAAAATTATTCGAACTGCGAAAATTGTGAAATTTAGATTTCTTTGCTATTAAATCATCAGTTCCTTATTAAAAACCAGGGTTTTTGTGTTTAACTAATTTTTCAATCAAAAATAAACTTCAGTGTAGCGTTCAAATGAACTATGTGAGCAGAAATGAGTAATAATGGTTGTTAACATTTCAAAATTTACATAAGAGGAAAAATCTCGAGTTTGATCTGATTCAAACTTTAGTTCAAACCGTTCATTTGTTCTTTCTGATGGAAAGTCACCACATTCAACATCATTTTTGATTTTATGGTGTGTTTAATTCTTCGAAATTCATTCAATTTTCAAACCTTTTCTAGCGGCCTGTTCCTTCCAGTCTTGCCGGGACTCTTCTTTGCTTCGGCCTGCATGTTTTCTTCTGCCTTGTCAATGTGGAACCTTTCAATCACATGCGAAAATTCCCCGGCGAGACTTTGATTCTGAAATCAGAAAAAAATTCCTTGCTTATCGAGGTATTAACTATTTTTTTGTTTTTCTGATAAAAAGACAAAAAAACTCTAAACTTGAACTCACTTCGAGAAGTTTTTTGATGGCTCCACGGCCCTCAGCAATATCTTCTTCCAACGTCGCCAATTTCTTGGAGTAGGCGTCAAGACGTTTTTGGAGTCTCGACATCTGGTCTCGAATTTTCTTTGCTGTCACTTCTTTTTCGTCAATCATCTTGAACATGATTCTGATGTTTTTTTCGTTTGCCGACATGATAGTTCTCTGAAAATGTAGACTTTTTTGCTTATTTACTGAAATTTCTGAAAAGAGTTAGCAGTGGTGGGCAGTCCTGCTCCAACCTAAGACGAACGTCCATGAGGAAAAACGAAAAGAAGGAAAGGAAGAAAACGGAAGCGGATTTTCAAAAGAAAGTCACGAGGTGTAAAAGGAACTCAGCAAGAAAAAGGACAGGAGCACGAATGACGACTTTGCAGAGGGTACCGTTTGAATGGTCGACGGTGTGCCACATCCGCCAACGGACTTTTTCGCGCCAAACGTCGGAGGCGCCATTCTCAGGGGTCACCCTCTGACGAGCCTTTCAAATGTTTCGTTTTGAGTTTGATATCGCCAGAAAAAAACTTTTTAACAGCGAAAAAAATCTTTTTTTCTGCAAAAAAATTGAAATATCCTACTTTTGAGTATATTTTTCATAAATCAAAAAAAGAACAATTTTTTTACTGAATTTTTATCAAAATAACTATTCTAATAGACCTAATTAAATTTCAGTATTCAAAAAAATTTTGGCGGGAGGTTTCGAATTTTTGTCTCTTGCGTCTTTTGGAATGTTCTGAAACATTCATTGTTCCGTTTCCATTCAGCTCAGCTATGATTCAGAGCGATGGCAACAATAAAAAAAATCACCGGAATAATGAACTGGGAGATAGAGAAAACTCGAAAAGATAGATAACTCCGAAGTTCAAACTTCTAGCTTGAATTTTCCCAGCGAACGACGAGAAAAAGTTCCAGATTGATCGAATTGAAAAAAAGCATAGAAAAAGCTTTGAAAGGAAATGCAAAAAAATTTTTTTAAATAGGCAGCAAAAAAATCGAGAATGAAGAAATTTAGAAGACTCAAAAAAATTTTTCGAGAAGAAAGATTCGAAAAAAACAAAAAAATGAATGTGCAAAATGAAAAAAATTGTCATTTTTTTGAGTTCCGAAATAATTTAGAACTTTTTCTGATTTTTTTGAAGTTTAAAAGCAAAGAAGAGCACAAAAAAACGGAATTCTGCAAAGTTTCTGAGAAAAAATTTTTGATTTTGGACTATTCTGTTCCAGAGAAAAATGTGAAGCAGAAAATATTTGAAACAAACCAAAGAGAAGAACTACTACGTACGATTTGCGGAATAGTCGAAAAACAGGGAAAAAGATGGAAGACGACCATCCTTTCACACAGAAACGTGACCAGTCCCGGGCAGACCGGAGAGCCCAATTCGAGCAGCCGTTCCCCACCGAGACAGCCAAAATAATGAATGAAATGGAGACACGCCCATTCTGATCACTCTCTCTGCTGACCCGACACGCCCACTACTGATCTTTGCTCGGAGACCGAAAATCAGAGGGGCTCGCTCAAGAGCGAATAATGGGATTAGAAACGAGAAAAGAACTATCAATAAGTGAGGAGATACTCCAATTTCGAAATGCTTCAGAACAATGCAAAAACTGTGTCAAGAAAAAAAAAATTTCAGAAAATTAGAGGTTCGTTTTTTTTTTCATAAAAGAGAATCCCGTTCAGTTTTCCGATTCATATTATTGCAGAAGATTCTCGGAAAGAACAGAATCAAAGATCCGAATTAAAGAACAAATTCTGCATGGTAACTTGGAAAAAAGTGGCGCTAGTTAATAACTTAAGGTAATAACAAAAGAAATGAACTCAAATTTGCTGAAGTCCGAAAAAATATTTTATGGTTATTTCATCTATTTGAGAGATGGGAATCCAGAGATTCGAATTGTAATATTTTGAAAAGTAGGACTTTCACTCAAAAAATAAATAAGTGAACTTAAACCTTTCATTTTTCTTACAAAAAAGACCATCGGCAAATCGAAAAGAAAGTCTAATAATTCAGAGGTTTATCGATTCAAGTTTAAAAGGGTTTGATATTTTGAATTGAACATAGAATGGGAGAGAAGGAAAAAAAGAGTGAATATTCTAAAAAAAGAGATAAAAAGAGTTCTCTTGCCGCGGAGACGCAGACGGCTATAAAGGCTACAGTTGCGTATGCGTAATTCTGATTTAGGAAATCTTACAAAAACCAAAAAATAGCTGAAATAGAATTATAAACACACAAACTACTTTTTAGATGCGCATTTGGTTTTTTTCTCGCTCGCACGTCGCTGTTTGAGGTCATTCTTTCCAGAGGCACGCAGCCGTCTTTGGAGCCGACTGGGTCACGTTTTACAGCCATTGTAAATTAGAAGCAGCCAAAAAAGTCAGAGATACGGACTCACTTTTTTGAACAACAAAACAACGATCTTTGGACTTGCAAGGATCGAATGAAGACTACTTTTGGGTTACAGTGACTCTCTTTTAGAAGTTATCTGAAAGTTTCGAGGTCGTTTATTGGAAAGTGAGAAGAGATCTGATTAACGAGAGAAGTTTTGTTATCCTTGGGTTTACTGTCAGAGAAGGGTTTTTTGATTTTTTGAGAAAAAGATTTTTGAGAAAATTGCCTTGAAGAAAGTTCAGTCAGAGCTAAACTATATGAAATAAAAATTTATCCACCGATTCATTAGTTTATAAGTTGTTACAGCAGTTTTCAGGTCTCCTATGTTTTGAGGGCTGTGAGTTCGACTTCAGCATAATTTACCAAATTTTCATGGTCCACTTAATAATCTAATAAGTTTTTCCGTAAAATATCTGATATTTTGAGGTCGGGTCACATGTGGAGCACTTCAAAACGACTTCTCCTAACTTTTTTTGGTTTTCAGAAGGTGATTGAAAAAAATCACAGGACTTTTAAGTTTATTTTGCTATTTTTTCCTGTAGACTTTGACTGTTAATATATCAGCTTTTCCTTCGCAGTCTAACCTTTGAGTGCTATTAACTGTACAGATTTCTAATTTTTTCGAGATATCATAACTATTCGAAGATCTCAAGGGCAATTTTCCAAAAAATTGTCCTCCTTTAGTCATTTTTGCATTACAAAACTCGATCGACGGATTTGTTTTATTTCAGGGAAATTAGCTCACCAGGGAATGGTCTCAGCTCACAGTGGGACTTCTGAATGAGACCAATTTTATTAGATGCAGTTTTTCACGCTGATTCCAAATCTGCTTTCAAAAGTTGCCCAATACGTCTGTGAAAAAAGTTATGGACCCTCAAAAGTCGAAAATTTCAGTGTCTCCAATTGAGCTGATTTTTGAAGGGTATGTAGATCTTGTCCCTCTGGTAACGAAAAACCTTTGAGCTTTTCTCGAAAAAATTCCGCAGCCCAGATATGATCTTTCAAAGCCTCGCCGAACATAAGAGAATGCGCGCGCGGTGTCCTATTGCGATCTGACGGCCGTTGAAGCAACGGCAGCGAGGAGCAGTGGAAAGGCGGCGGACTGGGGAGCACGAGGTCATAGGTTCGGTCCCCGTCCTCTGCAAAATTTTTTTGCAATTTTTCCTTTTTTGGATAATTTCGTCTAACTGCTCCTTTTTTGAGTTTTGAAGCGTAGAAACATGAGAAAACTTCTTTTTGAACCTTTATAAACACCTGGACTTATTTTTGTCAAAAATTTTATTCATGAAATTTTTCGTGATTTTCCATGTGTATGAGCATGGGTTGGAGTATGAAAAATTTTTCGAAAAAAAAATTTTTTTGTTTTTTTGTTATTTTTTTGTTTCAAAAGTTGACTGGTCCAAGTAATCATGACTACGCTGTCAAAACTCACAGAAAAAAAAAATTTTCATGGTTTTTTCAGACCTCAACGTGCACATACGGCTCTATGAGAATGAAAGAAATGCAAGTTTTTTTTAGCTTTTTGCTGTAAAACTTTTGAAGCACTTTTTACTAGTGACTAAATTTTACAACTAGAACCGTAATCTCCTGAATAAATTCACTACAATGAGATTTTTTTGAAAGTTTACCTTCCAGTCAGACTTTGTCGAGAGTAAATCTTCAAAAAGAAAAATATAACTTTTTAGGGCTTTAATTTTTGAGCATTTTTCCTTCTTTTTGATTTCGGGACTCAACTTTTTTTCCGACAAAAGGCAATCATCGCGTATAAATCACTGCAACCTAAAAAGATCTTTTTTTGGAAGTGGAAAATTTTTGGAAAAAAATTATTTCTGTGAGTTTTGACAGCGTAGTCATGATTACTTGGACCAGTCATCTTTTGAAACAAAAAAATAACAAAAAAAACAAAAAATTTTTTTTCGAAAATTTTCATACTCCAACCCATGCTCATACACATGGAAAATCACGAAAAATTTCATGAATAAAATTTTTGACAAAAATAAGTCCAGGTGTTTATAAAGGTTCAAAAAGAAGTTTTCTCATGTTTCTACGCTTCAAAACTCAAAAAAGGAGCAGTTAGACGAAATTATCCAAAAAAGGAAAAATTGCAAAAAAATTTTGCAGAGGACGGGGACCGAACCTATGACCTCGTGCTCTTCAGTTCGCCGCCTTTCCACTGCTCATCACTGCCGTTGCTTCAACGGCCGTCAGATCGCAATAGGACACCGCGCGCGCATTCTCTTATGTTCGGCGGGGCTTTGAAAAATCATATCTGGGCTGCGGAATTTTTTCGAGAAAAGTTTAAAAGTTTTTCGTTACCAGAGGGACCAGATCTACATACCCTTCAAAAATCAGCTCAATTGGAGACACTGAAATTTTCGACTTTTGAGGGTCCATAACTTTTTTCACAGACGTATTGGGCAACTTTTGAAAGCAGATTTGGAATCAGCGTGAAAAACTGCATCTAATAAAATTGGTCTCATTCAGAAGTCCCACTGTGAGCTGAGACCATTCCCTGGTCAGAAAGCGTGTTTTCGAATATAGAAATCTTTCGAAAGCAAAAAAATTGTTAAAATAGAATTATAAATATTCAAACTACTTTTAGATGCGCATTTGGTTTCTTTCTCGCTCGCACATCGCTGTTTGAGGTCATTCTTCCCAGAGGCACGCAGCCGTCTTTGGAGCCGACTGGGTCACGTTTTACAGCCATTGTAAATTAGAAGCAGCCAAAAAAGTCAGAGATACGGACTCACTTTTTTGAACAACAAAACAACGATCTTTGGACTTGCAAGAATCGAATGAAGACTACTTTTTGGGTTACAGTGACTCTCTTTCAGAAGTTATCTGAAAGTTTCGAGATCGTTTATTGGAAAGTGAGAAGAGATCTGATGAACGAGAGAAGTTTTGTTATCCTTGGGTTTACTGTCAGAGAAGGGTTTTTGATTTTTTGAGAAAAAGATTTTTGAGAAAAAAAACTCTGGTTATCCAGGTATTGAAAAATAGATTTCTCTGGCAACGGCCTTTTTTTCGTTGAAAGTTTTGTGAATAAGCTGGTCGTGTTGGATTTCTATTCCCTGCACTCCTCAATGAAGGCACAGAGCTTTAATTTTTGCACATTCGAAGAGAGACACGGTAGTAGCCAATATTATATGTACAATTGTCAACAAGAAAATTTCTCCGTGGACAGAGGCAGGAAGCTGTGAAGGCAGATGAAATATACCTCAAATGATGTTAGCCGTTTTTTTCAGGAAAAATGAGAATGGAAGGAAAGAAAAAACTATCTAGGAATATTCACCAACCTAATATAAGAAACATGGAAAAGATCCATATTTCGATTTTTCTTCACATTCAGTTCATTATGCCGGTGTTTTTTCATTTCTAGAATTATCATTTTTTTGTAACCTTTTTTTCAATTAAGGAGTTCACTTCAGAAGACTGTTGGACCAGCAAAGTTTCCTGTCATAATTTCTCAGATCGATTTTTTTCAATCATAAATTCTCAACTCAGGTTGGGACAAGGTAAGCTTCTTTAAAAACATTTCGCCATTCTGAATCAATTTATTGGCTCAAAACTCTGAAAAGCATCATTTTTTTTAACAAACACAAAAAATGCATGATGAAAACCTTTATTTCTCTCCAAAAAAAAGGAGAATCTTGTCCAGCTTCAATTCACAAGCAAGTTCTTCTGAAGCCATTGTCGAACTAAAAACCCTATTAAAGTCTCACAAAATGTATTTTTCAGAACTCACCGACATTGTGCAAATTAGGCCAGTGTCACAGTAGGGCCCGAATAAACCGCAGCGTTCGTTTTTTTGAGCACAAAAAATCGCACAAGCATCACAAGCTGTCATAGTTATCATGACAAGAAGAAGGAGCTGAGAAAAAATAATTGAGCGGAATTGGAAAAGTTGCCTCACCTTGAACATCATTGCTCGAAAAGATAA